TGCATTTAGATCCAAACCCACCCTTAATTAAGCCCAATGTATGACCATATACACACATATATATGCAACCCTATGTATTCAAAACAAGTATGAATTATTTATTAAGAAAATATATTATAATTATGTCGAAACCAGTTTACTTCAAGGAGTGCGAATCATGGAGAAATTCATGAGCACAATGAGGTTGATCATTATCATCATGACGATCATAATTCATATTGAAAAGACAACAAGAAGGATAGCATAGAGCAAAAAAAGAATAATTCTCCTTTAATAAGCTTTCACTCACTGGACTTTGATCTTTTACCTTGTCCATCTTTGCCATCACCTTGAAGAACAAATCCACATTGAAGGGAAGCCATATAAGGCCATCACTTGTGAACCCAAGCTCTATTTCTACATCATATAGTAGATTCTTGAACAATGGTTGATTCACCAACACAGTTTCAACCTCAAACCTCTGTCTCTCTACCCCAACATACGTTAAGAAATAGCCTTCAAGTAACCCAACGTTGCCATACCTTCACAATCTCCGTTAATATTGATTTTGCTTCCTGCCTTAGTTTGAAATTCTCAGGGATGTACATTAAAAAAATTATTAGAGGAAAAGGGTGACAGTACTGTCAATGTGTAAGAAGTGAATTATACTCTTTAAATAATTAGAGTTTGTATTGTTAAGGGTCTTGACTTTCATCTTAGATTTTATGAAGCCATACCTTTTTGTCTCCCATACATGCATTACTTTTATTGGTTTACCAAAAAGAACATTACTTACTTTCATTAGACAAATCGATAACTAAAGCATGAGATGCATGAAATCATTGGCTCAAGATGTGACGTATGAAGAGAATAAGTAATCAAGCTTGTTAATCATTATATGTTATATAAGACATGTCAAGTTGTAAGATTTTCATCTATGATTAATTAGATAGTCAACTGCATTGAAAAAAAATGTCAAATCATAAAATGTTATTGATCAATGGCTTTGATCACACTTATAACCCCGGGCCATTAGTGCCCATCTTCTAATTAAAAAAATGATGCATTACCAATACATAATATTTAATGAATAATAAAATATAGCTTGGAAAAAACTAGAGAGGCATTGTAGTTATGCTATTACCAGAATGATGCATGTATCACATGAAATATGCTAGATTAGTTGCACATTTAGATGATTCTACCTTTGTCTTTTCAAAATTCCAATAATCTTGAATGTCATTCCTTGTTTTTTAATTATCGATGTTTGTAGGATCTAGAAATACATTTTTGTGAAAGTTAAAAGAAGTTCATTATCAAATTCCTATAGGAAGACTAGGCACACGATCATTTAATGAGCCAACTTGACAAATTGATTTGTCTTACTCCCAAATTTAGGATCTTAACTCCTCACCTAATATGGTTTCACTAATATGGTAATTAATTATATTTTATAAACTTTAATATAAATAATTTTTAACTAGCACAAACCATTTAACTTGCCTATGAGAATGTACTTTAATGCAAGCTTACTTCAATTATCACCAAAACGGGGTAGCTTGCGTAGCTCTTAAGTTACTTGACACTCACATAGAGAAGTAACTATTGGATATAAGGCACAAAAAATGTACTTTATCAGAGAGAGAATGGGAGGGGAGAGTATTATACTATGATATAGCTTTTGACTTGAGACAATCACTTCTATTTATTGTGCAAATGAGTGACTTATTTTATGAAACTATCAACACAAATCATATTACATCATATTTACATTTAAGATGAAAAGATTGTGGTTGATATATTCATTTTTTTTTGCCAAAATAATTCCATTTTTTAATAAAAAAGAAAGTGCAAGCATCAACAGTCAAAGCAAAAAAAAATTAACACTAAAAAAAACCTAGAAATACAACCTAACACACCAAGAAATTCACCAAAAAAGAACAAGAATAAAAACAAACAAACTATTAAAAAAACAAAGGAATGACAAACATGCATCAGAACAAAAACCAATTTAACCAACACCATAATGATTTAATTTTAACATAGACCCAGCAGAAACACAATTTGAAATAGAATTAAAATTCCACAAAACATCATAATCTTGTTAAAAAAGGATTGATCCATATCTATCAATACCACCTCAACTTCACCACTTTTGAAGCAATTCATAGGCCTAATCTCTTTGTATGATTGATATTCTAAGAGGGAAGAAGAAGCCATCATCCAACAACTATAACCCATCCCTTTTTTTTTTGCAGGATTGCTAAATGATCAGCATGTTTATCACCTTGATGAGAAACTAAGGAAAAACTAACATTAGACAAAGAAATTTTTAGCTTTAGTAGCTCATGTACAACATTGATGGTTTAACATTCACAACCCTTCCAAGGAACCCTGCAAATCAAACTAAATAGTTCCTAACAATTGGTCTGAAAATGAATATGAAATATAACAAACTTCAATTGAATCATAGAAGCCTTCTTCGAAGCCAAGCACTTAATCATGAAAGGGTCTTAACATTTTCAATTGAATCATAGAAGCCTTCTTTGAAGCCAAGCACTCAATCATGAAAGGGTCTTAACATTAACCTCCCTGCACAACCCCCTAATAAACTCACCCATATTATTTCTATAAACCACACTAACTCCTGCCATCAAATAAGAGTTACACCAAGCCCATCAATATTGAATTTAATGCTGCCAACTTGAAGAGTTTCCCAAATCACCTTCCTCAAAGCTTTGCTAATACAAGGGGCTTGTCTGGTCCTATCCTCAAACTTCTTGGAATCTTAAAATTCATTTATGAGAGCTGAAACCATCCTAATCAAACCTTGATCATCAATATTGTCATTATTGAACACATATTTACATCAAAAATTCCAAATCTACCAACACATCACTGCTACCGTGGCTTTCTTATATTCGTCAAAATTACCATTATCCAATAACACATCAAGAAGCCAATACTTGCCATTTTAAACATTCTCAGTATTAAAACATAAGCCTAAACTTATATCCACACTTGCTTATGAATTTGTAAATAGACTATGATCCTTAACTTTTTGTAACCAGTCTTTTGTAATATAATACCCAATCTTAATGATGTAAGCACCATCTTTTGCATCCTTCCAAATAGGGCTAGCAGTGATGGCCTAGCTATCAATGGTGGTAAACTCTCACTAGTAACAGAGCTTTTGCTGCTAGCAACAATGGCGCTTGTTTTTTTTTTAAAAGAGATAGACACGGGCTTTTTGATAATTGACATATAAAATCTTATAGGAAATAACTTTTAAATCTAATGAGCTTCAATTGCAATTAAATTTTAATGTGCATTTACTAAAATACCCTTATTCATTCTACCTTTCATTTTCTTCAATTTTCAAGGTCATCTCTATTACCTTTTGGTGCTTCCTTACCACTGAATACTAGCTGGATGTCATGTCTTCCTTGAAGTCATTTACCATTGCATCGTGTTTAAAGGTTCTTACTATCATGTTTGGGGAATATAAGGAAGATCCTGAAGAAGAAAATGAGCATGAAGACTAAAGAGGATGAATATGAGGAAGGAGAATTAGACCTATCAGCATTCAGCAACTTGTGCATTAGCATCTTTCAATCCTTATGAATATTTTTAGAGAGGTAAATCCATGAATCATCCTTAGAACAATTTAACCTTAAAGAACAAAAACAACAGCAAGTATATTGCTTGTAAGGCAATTAATCAAACACATTATGAGCAATAAAAATTGACGATTTTGAGAAGGAAGAGTGGCAATTACTTAGTTTACAATTTGATAGTTGCAAGGACTCTGGAAGATTCTTTCTATTTTGGGAACCCCATTGTATTACCACATCTCGAGTCATACACCATAATTACACAATTAACTATCACAAGCCCTATACGGCTTCATTGCCAATTCACAACACAATCCACTTGCTCTAATTATTAATTTCTCCATTCATTTCTCCTAACCCAGTTCCACTCTTTAGGGAGAAATCATTAAGTGAAAGATATGGAGCAGGAGATAGAGAGAGGGAGTGAGTGAGAGAGAGATCGATACTCTTGATTTGTTAGATCAAATATTTATGAATTCATCTTGCTTCTTTTGATTTTTTTTAGGAAGTGTTGTATTTTTTTGAGCTACTTATAGGAAGACACTCATCTAACAGTGTTCGATGGTGAGGAAGCTTTGAGCACTAGGTCTAAGAGACAGCAAAGGTAACTTTAGAAAATTTAAAGGAGATGAAAGGTAGAATAAAAAAGGGCGTTTTGGTATATGCACACCAAATTTTTTTTGATTACTCATAGGTATCCTCCAATATTTTAAGCATAGTGGGACACTAAATATGAATTTATTTGCAATTAAAACTCATGGGATTTTAGAATTATTTTTGTATGTTGTGGGACTTTGCGGTAATTAGAATTCTTACATAGGATCTTTGTGTGATTTTCTTAAATTTTGTTACATAGAGGATCTTGGGCATGTAATGCATATTTTGAATGCATAAGGCCTTTAATGAACATTGTTACTATTGAGATTTCTGTAATTAGAACAGGGTTGGAGGTTTGCAAGATGCTTAGATTGTCTAAAGTGCATTTATTCTCCAATTTGCTTGGAGCCACAACACATTGATGAGGGACGTAGGTGTCGGGTTTACTAATAGGGAGATTTCAGAGCAGATAAGAAAGATTATTTTTTCTAACTAGAATATTCAAATTTCACATGCCTATAAACAAGTCTTGAACTGGTTGATATGCTTGGTAAGAAAGCTCATGAAGTGGGAGAAGTTACTATCATTAATCATGATATGCCTGCGAACTATAATGGGTTGACGTAAGGTATGTGTCTTGGTTGCTACTTTTGTGTTAGGCTGAGAGTTGTGTCATGCATGCCTCTTGTACTCACAAAAAAAAAAAAAGTTGTATGGGGCCCTAAAAACAAATAAGTTGATTTTGACGGCCTGAGTGAAAATTTCCCAAATTTCTCGGCGCCGCTTTAGTTTCCGGCCCACGTCTGATAAAAGTGAAAAAACAAAATCAAACGAAGCGATTTGAGGTCGAAGGCCGCGAATCGTGCCCCTGTTTCTGGATTCACGATGGATTCCATAATACCCCGGTTTAGGTGCTTTGCTGAAAGCGCTTTTTAGTTTTCTACTTCTTCACTGCCTGCCTATTTTCTGCATCTGCTTCTTCCTTCGTGCTTGCCATTGCAACAATGGACGATTGTATAAAGCAAGAACCTTGTGATACTCCCAATGTGCATAACTCCAGGCCGAAAACCAACGTTGCTTCGACCTTCCCTGACACTGTTATCGAACTCAGCAGCAGCAGCAGCGACTCCGATTCAGACGTCGATTTGGATAGTTTAATCGGCACCAACATCGTCTCAGCTTTTTCAAGAGGGGAAACTGGCACGCGTGGGGCTTCAGTTGCGAACCATGGAGGTATTTTAAAGAAGCGCAAGACGAATGAGGGTGGAATCGTTTTACCCCTCGGATTTCTTAGTCCTCTTCCCTCGGAAACATCGCAGCCGACGCTGAGATTGCCAGCTCCTGAGTTGCCTTCTACTTCGATACATGCCAATGGGAGCCGAGACTTAAATGTGCGGTCCAAAGCCCAGAGCTGCAAGCAGTTCTGGAAGGCCGGAGACTATGAGGGAGCGATTAGTGATGGTTGGGATTCTTCATCCGGTACGGCAGTCTCTGCATATCATGTTCTATTGTAAACGGATTCTTTAGATTTTTTTTTTTTGGCGAGAAACGGCAAGTGACCCGAGGCATCCCCTATTTCAAGCAGCTTGCTTCTACATCACTTTCTCGTTTTCATGTTTGATTTACGTTTCTGTTAAGTTCTTAGATGTTTTGGAAGCACAAGTATTGAAATGGACACATTTTTTTTTGGGGCGGGCCCGGGGGGTTTTAAAAGGAATGGCCGTATCGTTGAATATGTTTTTGTGACATGTTATTAACTTGGCTTTAGTTTGCTTTGTGTCTGGTTTGGGTTTAATGTGTATAGTTATTGACGATTTTATATAGGCTCTGGAACAGGGAAACTTTTGTAGATTAGAAAGGTTGGGAGTCATTCTCATGGGCGAGAGACGGACGTTCATATTTACTGAGGAAATGTTTGCATGCGGGTATTGGATGGCGGGAAAATTGATGGGAAGGGGGCTATTCCCCGCAAGAATTAGAAGATTCGGAGGAGGACTGGGATTTTAGAAGAATCTTTCCCCTTTAGACTCTGCTTTTATTACAGATGGGGTTTAAAACTTTTCCTTATCTAGGTTTAATAATTCTCATGCAGGATCAAGGATTTTGGCCTTGTCACAGTTTGCATTCTAAAGTAGATTTAGGGGGAAGACAATCAGCATCCTTGAGCTTAATGAAGCTGTTGATAAATTAAATTAACATTTAGATGTTTATTTTTTAATTATTTTAGTCACTTTTTGTGTTATTTGACTATTTTAAGGCTGTCAGGCCTGAGGTTCCTGGAATTTCTGTGTTTCTAACCCTGCAATTATAATTTGTTATTTATTATAATTCTACAGTTGGCATGGATCATGTCAGAGTTCATCCAAAGTTTCTACATTCTAATGCCACAAGTCATAAATGGGCTCTTGGAGGTAAACTGGCGTGTTTATATGAATGTTCAATCACAGGAATGACGTGTCTGTGCCTCTCAAAGTGTTGGGTGAAATAAGAGATTTTTGTCCTGGGTTTCAGTATTTTATAGTTAGTAATTTTTATTTATGCTTATATTAATTATTTCTTTGCAGCTTTCGCAGAGCTTTTGGATAACTCATTGGACGAGGTATGTACACTGCTTGCTATAATATTGAGTTGGATGCTGCTTGCTATAATTTCACGTCTTCACTTATTTTGAATCAGGTTTGTAATGGGGCTACTTTTGTTAACGTTGATATGGTTGTCAATAAAAAAGATGATACAAGGATGCTGCTGGTTGAAGGTATTTTCATTCGTTTTTTAAAAACCTGCTATAGCACCTAAATTGTCGATTTTTTTTTTAAATTTATAGAGCTATACAAGGAAAAGAAAAATGTACATGGGTGAATTAGATGAGCTCCTGTGATTAGCTTGCCACTTCTTCCCCTCTGGCTACTTCACACCTCAATTCAAGCTGCCCACTTTTGTCACCATCACTGTTGCCTAGTTCTTACTCCTTTTCATTGAAGTTAAACAGAAACGTATAAGGTGAGCAGAGTGGCACTTTTTGAATTACACATTGGCTAAGTGCACTGCCTATGACTCAAACGAGATTGGAACAGAATAATAGTAGTTATGATTGGTAGCAGTAATAGGAGGGCGGAATGAAGTGGACTGATGGAAGGATCCTTGCTTATATGAGAAATCCCGTGCTAGACTCCATAAAATTATGTGGCTTCTGTGGTTTCAGGGAGGAAAGAATTGCTTATGGTCTGTTCATGAATTTTTGCATAAATGGTTTTAGGTTTGCTGGGTCACAGTCTGGTTTTAAACTTGTAAATGGTGATGAAGATTGGCACCATGCAACTCATTCCTATTCTTTTAGATGTGTTTTCCAACTAAACTTCATCAGTCACCACTAATCTGTTATAGGTCTTTATTTTGATATCTGAAACTTAAGTATGACTAGAACAGCATAACTTATCGTTTAGAAGCTAGAGTACTAATGAGTCCATGGTATTTTATAAAAAAAAACAATGGCACAATAAGCTTACCCCTGGAGACCAATAATTTTGTTGCAGAACCAAATGATTCTGATATTACTTTGCAGGATTAAAGGACCTAAATGTAATTAAAATTTGTTGTGAAAAGACAAAATTACCGCTGATGTATTTTTGTTGTGATGAGGGAATTGATTGTTGTTAAAATGAGAATGAGACTTCTTCTTTCTCAAATGGAGATTTGTTCATCAGATTATAACAATTCCTCTACTAAATTAATTTTTACAGTGGTTCATGAAGGAATTGATTGTTGTTAGAATGAAAATGGGACTTTTTTTCTTGAATGCGAACTTGTTTATCAAATCATAACACTTGTTCCTCTCCACCACCAAGCTAATTTTTAGAATTGTAAATAAGGGAATTGATTGTTGTTAAAATGTGAATAGGACTTGTTTTTTGTTTTTCTTGAATGGGGAGTTGTCATCAAAACAGTATATAATATACACATGAGGGGTGTTTTTGTCTTTTCACGACAAAGTTTGTTACTTTGATCCTGTAGAGTAATATTATATCATTTGGCCTTGTGGCGTAATTAATTGTCTTCAAGGGTCCTTGATTGTGATTTTCCCAAAAGACAATGGCACAATAAACTTATATGGAGAAGGTTCAAGAATTTGATTAGGGATTAGATATGATGATTGCATAGTATTATATAAAAAATATGGCACAAGAAGGTTATCAGGAGAAAGTTTAGGAATTTGATTAGGGATTAAATATGCTTGCAGTCCTGATTGAAGCATTGCTAGCTGCTTGAATCAAGATTTTAGGAAGTTTGTTCAATTTTAAGGCCCTGTTTAGTATGTGGAATTGTTTTTGATAGAATGCGAATGGGATTTAAAAACACACTTGGTATATCAATGAAATGATGATATGACTTTTATTTAATATTTATAATTATGATAGCCAAATACCATTTTACCCTCAGACTAGTTACTAAGGGATCTACTCATGAAAAGTCTAAACCCAAGCATAGCCTTAACCACCAAGCACCACCATGCCTGGCCTCAACCATCATGCACAAATCCTTGCCAACAAGGGAGGGAGGAGATGACTAGAAAAACCATCAAAACATCATTAAAAAAAAAACAGGCACAACAATCAACAATAAAAAAGCGCCAAATCGAAGAATATTGGAGAGAATGACGGCCTTAGGAAGTCAGATTGGAGAAGAAAAATCATTGTCAAGGTGGATTCCATCATTTCCTTTAACACTAGCAACCCAGATTCAAGAAGAACAATGGCCTTAGGAAGTTGTGATGGTCATTGTTGTTGCCTTAGGAAGTCACAATGGTCATTTAGTGACAGAGGAGAATGATGGTAAGACTGTGGACGTTGCGAAAATGGGAGTACGATAGTGGGAGTGCAGGAGTCACGCAAGGGTAGGACTATCCAAAAATTCAAAACCAAGGATAATTTTGTCACTAAAAAGTCATTCCTAGTAATTGATGTGCATTCCTCTGGTCGATTCATGTAATGAGGATGACCTCAAATGGGGTGGTGGGCCATTCCAGTGGGATGGGCTCTCCCAGGCACTAAAAACCCAAAATGGTCATTCTTTCATCCATTCCTTCTTTAAATGAAAACTCATGATCTTTACTGCCAAACAATGGGGAGGGCCTTGCTCCAATCCCATCTTTCCCCCCCTTTTCTTGATTTATTTATTTTTTGACAAATTATACCCTACAAATATATTAAACCCCTATTTCTTTGCAGTTGCCAGTTTTGATATAGTACTCCACTTCAGCTGTATATTTATTTGATTTCGGCCAAATTGTTCTTCCCTCTTTCAAGATATCCCCAATTAGACACCCCCTCTTCTTTGTCCTGAAAAAGGGCGTTCTCCATTTTCTTTGTCATGCTCTATTCCCCTTCCCTGACATGACAAAAATATGCTGTGTTGATTACTCTTTACAACAGAATACTAGTCATAGTTACATTTATCTTGACCAATAACCTGTTATGCAATAAATAAAATGAGAAAGTTAGTTAAAGGGTTTAACGGTCTATATAAAGAGTTTGTTGATTGGATTTAGGAACTATGGTGTGCATAAAGAGCATGGAGGGAGTAATGGCAATCAGGTTTTTGGAATAATAGAATTGAGCCTCTCTCTGTTCCTGTTCCTCTCTTCTCTCTCCTTCCCTCTCTTCTCTTCCCTTGCTCCTGATTATCATGCAGCATAATCTAATATTAATCACATATATAGGATAACAAGTACTTCCTCTTGTCTTTATTGTAAGACACTTTCAACTGTTTCACGTATTTTAAAAAAAGTTAATTTTTTTGTTCTTGATACCATTAAAAAAGAGATATACTTCCATTCTTACCCTTGGTTTTAGATAACGATATAACTATATTAAATACCTTCATACTGATTAAGAAAGGGTTAAATTGAAAAAAGTAGTTTAAATATTACAAGGTGTCCTACATTTAAGGCCAAAAATTATTTTTAGAAGTGTTCTACAAATAGGACTAGAGAGAGTATTAAATAAATATTTAACCAAATAAAGGAGTCACCTTTTCAAATTTAGAATAAATGAAATCTGTACTTCTCAATACGAACTAAATAACATTGAAGTATATTTTTTTAAAAAAATTATTGATAGAAATACATTTTCCAATAAGTTATATTTTTTATTTCATTAAAAAATTTATATTTTTTGTCTTTATTTTGACCTCAAGATTCATAATGGAGAGTAGAGTGAGGGGAGAGTAATTAACCCTGTAATTTTTGTGTGTTTCATAGGATTGATGGATTGGCAACTTTAGATGTTTGATTTGTAGTAATATCGTTGTCCTTATACTTATCCCATCTCATTGTCATTTTACCTTTTCCCTTCCTGTTTAAAATCTACATGGTGATCTTTCTTTTGGCAATCTGTTTTTGTTATGTTTGTTTACTACTTTTCCAGATAATGGAGGTGGAATGGATCCAGATAAAATGCGTCAATGCATGTCACTGGGTTATTCTGTGAAAAGCAAATTAGCAAATACTATTGGGCAATGTAAAGTGTTACGTTCCTTCTCTACATGCAGAAATTTAACTTACTGTCTACATGCAAATATTCTATTGAAGAGGGCATGCTGATCCTTTCCTGTTGATGTGATAGATGGAAATGGTTTCAAAACAAGTACCATGAGACTTGGGGCTGATGTAATTGTGTTCTCACGCTGGCAAGGGAAAGAAGGAAAGAGGTTTGTTCGATTTTCTCATTGTTTCCCCCCCTTACAAATTAAATTGTAAAAATTAGAGAGAGAGAGAGAGAGAGAGAGAGAGAGAGAGAGAAACCCTGTTGAATAAAATGTAATCATTGAATTCTGAATGTATGAGATTTTATATTGTCAGTGTTGGGGGAACACAAGTCTATTAGAACTATTCTGTTGATTGCTTTGTTGCTGGTACAATCATCTCCCTGTTGGTCAGATTACATGTTTATACTTCAAACATCAAATCTTTTCTATCAAAAAAGGGAAGAAAAGAAGAACTTCAGTATTTATTCTTCTTGCCAATTGTTTATACGGTCTATTTTTATTGTCTTCATTATTGATCATGGTGCTTCCGTAACTGTGACATGGTTGTTGCTATTAGCTCTACGCAGAGTATTGGCTTGTTGTCCTACACGTTTTTGAGGGGTACGGGGAAGGAAGACATTGTAGTACCCATGGTAATTTTTCCTCCTTATTCTATATTTTCCATTTAGATAAAGACTTAACCTAAGATATATAATTCATATATGTTGACTTGCGTTTCACTTTAACCTAAGCAACTACTTATTCTTTTTCATTGCATCTAACTATTGTTTTTTTTGCCAACTTAACTGAAAGCTTGACTACGAAAGAGGAGGTCAAGGCTGGAATAGGATGATACGATCTTCGTGGGGTGATTGGAATAAAAATGTTGAAACAATAATTCGGTGGTCACCTTTCTCCAGTGAAGAGGATCTTCTTCGTCAGGTGATCAATTGGTACTTCGGGAAAATGATTAATCATGATACGTATGCAGAGATATTGATGCCTGTGCAAGAATGGACACTAAACCTCTCAGTATCATATTGATCTAACCATTGGATTAGAAGTGATTATCATATTGATCATGTTTATAAAATTTTAGAAAGAAGTTGGTAACAACAAGTTGTTACATTATATATATATATATATATTATTTTCATAGGTTGATAGATGTAAAATTTGTGACTCTGATCTTCATGATTAAAACATCTAATCCAGTTGTGGATTTTGTAAGAAACTTATCCTACAAATTTTATTCAGTGATTTAAAAGTAATTCTAGTTGACATCAGTGTGAATTGATCCTTCATGCATGGGTATACACCTATATGCAGTTACACACACAATGTATGTAACCATGTATTTTATGTGCTTTTTCCCCCTTATTCTATCGGTTCTTTTTCTAGTTTTAAGCAGTCAGTTATTGACAATGGATAACTGTGTTAGCTTTGCTCTTTGCTGTGCATGAAGGATGAATAACTGTGTTAGCTTTGCTCTTTGCAGTTCAATATGATGAAAGCTCAGGGAACACGGATAATTATATACAATCTCTGGGAGGATGACCAAGGTCAACTGGAACTTGATTTTGATGCAGATCCACATGTATGACTATGATATTTGCAATGCAAACCCCCCACCCACCAAAAACAAGGGGAAAACAATCCTTGCATGTCTAAGCAAACTTCATGAAATATTAATATTAATAATTTTATTTTGTTAATTATGTATGGCAGGATATTCAAATCAGAGGTGTGAACCGTGAGGAGAAACACATAGAGATGGCTAGAGAGTTTCCCAACTCAAGGCACTTCCTTACGTACCGACATTCGCTGAGGGTTAGTCAGATTTTTGTTTGAATATATATATGTAGATGATCATATGTTTCTCACTATCTTTCTGTATCCAGAGCTATGCGTCAATTTTATATCTGAGGCTTCCTCCAGGCTTCAGAATTATTCTTCGTGGGAAAGATGTTGTGCATCACAATATTGTGAATGATATGATGATGTCTCAGGAGGTTACGTACAGGCCACAGGCAGGCATAGATGGAGTTCCAAAGGATTTAAATGTAACATGCGTGTTGAACACTGACTTTACTCTTATAACGTGCCATTTGCACAATTTCATTTAGATCTTGTTACAGATGGTTGCTGTTGTGACTATCGGATTTGTCAAGGACGCAGTTCATCATATTGATGTTTCCGGTTTCAATGTTTATCACAAGAATCGACTCATAAAGGTAGTGTTTATCATGGTTGGCAAAGACTGGACAAAATTATGGAGCATTTTATTTTGTCTGTGGCTCTCTTATGTGAAGTTCATTGCCTTCACTTCATGAGTTCCTGTAGTCTAAGCATTTGAGATAGTTTGTTCATTTCCTGGTGGTAGAGTTGTGTCGATGTTGATTCTATGCTATTGTTGGTTGTTTTAAATGGATATTTCAGTTTTATAAACTGGCCAAAGACTACAAATGCTTGCCTATTAATAAGTAATGATGCTAGAATAGTCTTTCCTTGAATTTTTACTTACATTACACATTTCCCATTCATTTAGAATGTACACAAACCTCTTTTCAGACAAAAAGATGCCCTGCACTTTAGTCCCATTCTATTATTATTATTATTTTTTTTTTTTACCAAAACAACTTTCATTTCTTTCTTTCTTTTTTTTTGAAATATATATTTAGGTTAGTGGAGGGTATTTTAGTAAAGAATTTTAAAATCATATGAAAGTTTAGGGCATATTTTTGTTTTAGGGGAGGGCCATGTATATTTTTAACCAGCGGAGAGCTCGGTGTAATTTCAACAAAATGTAGGAGGTTTGTGTAAAACCTTTATATCTTGAAAGATTAGAGCACGTTTATTTATTTACTTTTGTGGGTAAAAATCAAGGCTCCTGATCTCTGTATGGTTTAGAAGTATACGCTGGCTGTTTCATCATCATTCATGATAAATGAACCAATACGGACTGCTTTCTGTAGTGGGTAGTTGGGACTTGAACAGTAGTGGTGTTTCTGTAAAAATTGGTCTTACAGATGGTTTTGATTGCTTTCAGCCCTTCTGGAGGATCTGGAATCCTGCTGGCAGTGGTGGGCGAGGGGTCATAGGTGAGTGTTTTTGCCTTGTTCTTTTTACCCCTGCCAAATTGTCCATGCTCCTTTCTGGTAAGCTTTTCACCATCTAAATGCAGGAGTTTTAGAAGCTAATTTTGTGGAACCAGCTCATGATAAGCAAGGCTTTGAGCGTACGATAGTTCTATCAAGACTAGAGACGCGATTAATACAAATGCAGAGGAGTTATTGGTAATTCTGGATTATTCATGCAATTAGTTTAGATGATTGCTTATATGGTCAGTTCTTGGTTTTTTTTTTTTTGGGTTTAAAAATAATTTAAATAAATCTGTTGCATTCTTCTCTGATTAGGAATTCAAACCGCCATAAAATTGGTTATGCTTCAAATCATAGTAATAATCCACAGGCTGAGAGGGCAAATAGAGGTCAGTTACGAGGTCTTGCTTTGGTTTTATTTATTTGATGCAAGTCTTGGTATTAGTTTTAATTATGTAGTTGTTAATCCTTATCAGTGTTGTGTTGGAAAGGATAAACTTGTGAAGTTTTGCTTCTATACTTTGTTTTGCAGAGACATCTCCTGATTATACTCCAGGATCATCTCAATCAAAAGGAAATACTCTGCTTCAAGCAGCAAAGCCACACGAACTGCATCAGACAAAGAGGAACAGAAAGGAAATATTGGCGTGTTAGCCTCTTCTAAAAGAAGTGGAAAGAAACAAGGTTTATATGAGCTGTCAATTTCCGAAGAGGAAAATAGTGATGAAGATCAAGTTGTTCACCCTAAGAAACTAGCAAGTGAAGAGAAGCAGAAGATATTTCAGGCCGAGAAATCTCTTGATAAAGAGGATAGTTTTCTACAAGATATCACATCAAGTGGAAGAACCTTTAAGTTCCCAAGAGGATCCAAGCCAAAGGTAATGCTTTTCACGCACTTTTTTTCCTATAAAAGTACGAATGCCTTCCTGTTTGCTTAATCTCAAGTCTAATGAGAAGCATTGCTCTCTTTTTTTTTCCCTTAATGTTATTTGTATACAATATGAACATCTGCAGTGTGGTATATGTTGGAAGTGGTTGAATCACCTGTGTCGTGACTATCCTAGATTCATCTTTTTGAATATTTGGGTTTGGGTTGTAAACTCAAAATAGTGCCTGTTGCGGTTGATTTGCAGGGAAAAGATGTCAGTGAATGCCATTACCGAACTTCTGATCCTGATCTATGCACTTTGGAGCAGTTGAAAGAAGAGAATCGGGACTTGAAAGAAAGGTGTCTTGAATTTTTGAAATATGTTTTACTTTTTGCTCACTGTTTTTGGTTACTTTGTTGGACATTAATTGTTGATTCTTCTTATAATTTGCAATTTTTGTGCCATAGATTAAGTAAGATGGAGGAAGAAATTATCGGAGAATTAAGGCGGGATTTGCAGCGCGAAAGGGACAAATGCAAGTCTCTTGAAACTCAGGTTTGAGCTGTGACCACCTATATTCTATTATGGAAAGAAAGAAAATCGATCAGATTGATGATCAGTCTGTTGTAGATTCATGTGATGACGTTGCTCTTCATTTAGCTTATATGTATTTGAACTGGATTGTTCGTCTATAATTTCTGCTTTTATATACTTTATTTACATCTGAATTATCTTTCTTTTGTACTTTCATCATTGGTGTGCTCACGGGGATAGCTGCGGATCTAATTCATGGTTGAAGTGAATTAGAAAGGAAAATATTTCTTTCAAATTGGAATGGAATGAGGATTTGGAATATGTGCCATAATGAATTATCTAACTAGTAAAATTGTAAAATTGCTGGATCCTTTTGTCAAGGATCGCTTAAAATCCAGAAGCGTAAGCTTTTGGGCAAAAACATTGATTTTATTAATATTTGACACATTCTGCATTTTTCTTAACATCTCTTGAATATTACATCACCAGCTCCAGGCTGCAGAGAAGACGATTGAAGAATTGAACAAGGAACAAGAAACTATAATTGATGTATTCACTGAAGAAAGGGATCGACGAGATGCTGAGGAGAAAAAATTGCGAAAGAAGCTACAGGTTTAACTCCCGCATTCATCAAACTGTCCACTCGTCTCTCCAAAATTGAAGTGGAAAAGGAGAATTTGCTATCTGCTTGTTTTTATCCTGTAAAAAGTAAATTCCCAACTCTAAATGATGAGATCTTTTTAACCTCTTTCCACTGTAGGAAGCATCTGATACCATCGAAGAGCTTCGTGACAAGGTAAGGCTGCAAGAAAAGAGGCTTTCAAGTGGTAAGCTAGGACGATGAGATCATGGCTTCTGACTACGAGGCTCCTGACACGATTGGCGGATATTACTAATTTGTTCATCAACTTCATTGGCTGCCTATGGGTTGATCCCCCGTATATAGACTGACTGACCGACCGACCTTGGTTATCAAATGTTGCATAGCTCAGGTCATGGGTGGCCGGTTTTGAACTGGAAAGTTGATGATGCTCACTGGTATAACTTCTGTATATATAGATTGATTTATTGTTTTGCTCCCCTGGCGCTGTGTTCGTTAGCATTCATTTTGCGAAGTAAAAGTAAATGCTGCCTTTTTCTTTAGTGTCTGTATTCATTTGATGGTCCATAGGGAAAGATGTCACAGCCCTTAGCCCACAACATTCTAACGCTTCATTCGACAGGTGGATTCTCCTTTTCCCCCCCTTTTTGTTTGTAGAATGGGGAACTGAAAGCTTCATCAAAAATCAGTTCACACTTCACAGTTGAGTTGAGGCTCATCTTTCATGTTTTTTTAATTACTCTCTTCTCGTCGCTTTTAAATGCAAGAGCTAGTTGGCGAATTTATTTTGATCTTGAGAATAATGCTGAGTCCAATGTAATGACGTATAAAAGGATAGTGTGTGTGTGTGTGTCAAAGGAGAGTTCTAAATTTACATTATTAAATAGGGATTTAATACACTTTCTTTTATATAAATAGCTAAACTAATACATTACTCCTTCCTGTTCTAACTGTTTCGAGTTAAATAGCTAATTTGAATATATTAAAAAAATTAGTTAAATTGGTTACTTGTAAAAATATCATGTTTTTTCAAAGAGTTAAATTGTAATATTTTAATCTATAGGTTTGGGGAGGCTTTAAATTCTGAACTCATTTCATATATTTTAAATTCTGAACAATTAAATTTAAGACCATCTGATATTTACCGTTAATTTTAAGGAAAAGGTCAGTTAACCCAGTCTCTCTCCTCTCTCTCTTCGATTCTCTCTCATCTGTTGCTCCCCCACCCTTTCAAAGATTTTATTCACGAGCTTTTCCTTGAAGTAGTGAATGGGAATTTTTGCAATTTGTCACTTATGAAAGGTGTTTGACTAGAGAGAGAAGTTGTGGGAACTGCATGATGCTGTCGACACACAAGAATTCCTTTCTCTGTGTGTGTGTGTATGGACCCTGTTTGATAGAGTTGAATCTTAAAGATAAAATAAAATTGGAGTAAAAATTTTAATAAAGTGATATTTGATACATAAATAAATTAGGATTCTCATGGATCCAAATTTCATGAAAAAAGTTAAAATTGGATTCTTGCTTAGAGCTATGAAATCTGGATTAATTTCATATAATCCTATTTTTCAAAGCAATTTTATCCTTGTAAAAAATTAAATTCACAACTTTGCCCCATAAGTCAAAAGCGCAAGCCTTGTGTGCTTAAGAAATTTCTGGTCTTTCAAGTGTGGTGGCTGACTTTGCCAAAGGAAAAACAAAAAAAGATGGTGGCTCAGTTTGTTTCTTTAGCTTTTTTTTTTGCCGCCGTTTTTATTTTGTTTCTGTGTTCTTTAGTCTGGTGCTGTCATTATGGAATAGGAGTCTTTATATAAATTATATTTATATATATATATAAATAATATAGCATTATATATAGGTGTATATTATAATATTCTTTTTATAAACTATTTTACTTATATATAATATTTTATTTATATACTAAATACATGAGGACATTAAAACACAATCAAGCTTTTAATATATACTCCTTCCATTAAAAATTATAAGACATTTTTAACTGAATCTCACCCCCAAATAAAATAGTTATCTACTTCAAACTACTCTATATATTTACTCTTATTAAATACCATATGCTAAATATAAAGTCATTTATTAATAAGGACATAAGATTTAAAAAAAAATAACTACATCTCAAAAAATTTAAAATATCTTAAATTTTTTAATATCCAACTTATCAAAAATAACTTACATTTTTTAACGGGGAGAGTAATTATTTTAATTTTAATTTTAAAATTAGGGGTATTTTTGTCTTTTTAAGTATAATTCTATCTTCCATTTCTTACCTGCCAAATAAAAATATTATGAGAATTTCATCTATTTTTTTTAACATATCAAACTCACTTTTAAAACTTAATTTTATTTTAAGTTCAATTTTAAATTATTGAAAATTCTTTTATCATACCAAATCAGGCCGTTTTCCTCCTTTGAGCGTGTCAGTCTCACGTTGTGTTTAGATTAACATCACTCCCATCCCACCGGGCATCAAGAGAGAAAGCGGAAACTAATGGGATCCAATCCAACCCATCTTCAAAGGCACGGCACAATTAATATTCTCAAGAACGAAGCGATAATCCCAACTTAAATGGATCAAGAAACTGCCAAATTAGAATGGACTGAGAAAAAGATCACAAGTTGATGAGCTGTTCATTTAAATCTTATCCAGGCATACATGTTCCGAGAAAATGACGAGGGGATGTGAAAGTCAAAATTTTGATGCCACCACATGCGCTTTGATTCCCAGTTTTGTTCCTTTGAGTACGATTGTTATTTTGTAGATTCTGAGATGTATTTTCGAGTCTCATCGCCCTCGGTGGCACCAACGCAGGTACACATTCTTCAAGCTCTCCCGCTCCCTTGGATCTACGATTGAAAAATGTGGAGATGGATCTTTGTCTTCAGGAGGAAGCAGCAGCCAGAGGAGAGAGAAGCGAAGAGAGAGGGAAGAGAGAGACTGGTTTAGGGCTAGTTCAAAATACATTGAATGCAAGATTTAAACCTTGGGCTTATAATTTAAAGTCCTATTACTATTTTTTTTATCATAAGTTCTATTAGTATTTAACCTTTAAAAAATATAATACAATCAATAAGGTTACAGTTTAGAAAAATCCTTAGGAGAGAGTAATTTATAATTGGCATGAGAAGCTTTTTCTTTTTTCTTTTTTTCTTTTTTTTTTTTTGGTTTTTTTCAAGGTATCTCATAAGAGAGCCATAAAACTAATCTTTTAAAAAAATTGAGCATATTTAAGAGTTTTTTTTTTTTTTTCAAGTAGCGCTCTCCATATATATCTTTAAAAATCAAATTTCTTCAATAATCTTTAAAGAATTCAAACTGCTAATACCTACGCTATATCCACTTAATAATTTGGCATAAGAAGTTGATGATAGCCTTTACACAGCTGCATTTATTTAAACCAGCTTTCGAGTGCCCAGCCGTGACACCACGCTGTTCAAAATGCAATCGTTCAGACATACTGCAACAATTATCTTTTTTCTCTCTTTTATTAATACCTTATACATATAATTTTGGGGTATATGTATGATTATATTAAATTATATTCAATTTTAAGGTCAAACGAGGAGAATTAGTTGTCTTAGTATTTAATTTTTTTTTTTTCAGAGAAGGATTTTGATCTTTTGGAATAATTTTATGGAAAAACAATCGTTAAGTGCAATTTTTCCAACTAATTTTGTGGCCCTCATTAATTTTGGCGGACAGGGCTGGTGGATCAGAATCTGTCACATTAGGTATGCAAGTATGGGACCGTGCGTTCCAATTGCCCTTCATTTTATTGAATGTCCCTTTCTCCAGTTTGCTTTTGAAGGGAAAAATATTAGAATTATTTTTTTCATCAAAAGGAAAAAGTTAGAATTATTTTTTTTAAAAAAATTATATAAAAAATATGATACTCATATTATTCATTTCAAAATTTGGTAACAAATAAAATTTATTAAAATAATGACAATAAAATCATAACAAAGTAGGGGATGAGAAGCGACATAAAATGTCTTATGTATGTATATATAAAGTATGAGAGAAGGCAAGGGAAAAGATTCAAAACCCACGTGTATATATATATATATATAATATAATTTAAACATGTTTTTGGAGATGTTTTTTTTTTTTTTTAAAAAAAAAAAGAGTTAGAGTACCCCACTGGAAGAAGGACAAATTGAGAATCATGGTGCATTTATTCAAGGATCATCCAATTCCAAGCACAGCACGAAGGCTCGATGGCTCATCTCCTAACTGTGAACTAGCGGTGTGGGTGTAACAGCAAAAACATAAAGAGTGCAGTTTTACGTTGGCCTTATAAAATATCGATATCAGTATCCTGTTGAAGCCATTGCTACTTGATTTTGATATTTGTTATCTAAGCCATTCGCCTTCCTCTGTAGACCGTATTAAACAAAAATTGATACTTTGTAGTTCAATTATAATTTAACGTGCCCCATTATCTTCCTCGCACAAAATGCAAGTTTAGCATTTAGTCCAATCATAAATCTAACATTTCAAGTTAGTATTCCTTCACACAGTTTAATAAACATGTAAACATACGATATATTTTTATCAAATTTATTCCTCATTTAATTGCGTTGGAATAGGTGGAAGTTAAATAAACTAGTCACATTGTTAAATTAAATTAGAAAAAAAACAAAAAATATTGTTTTAATTTACTTTGAAATTCTAAATAGACTTATAATATCCAATAAAAAATTATTCTAAAAAAACCAATATAATGAAGGGACTTAGGCAAATTTAACCCACATCATAGGACCAAATGAAAATAATGGCCTAACCTGTCTTTAATTTGAATAAATGGCCTTTAATATTTATTTAAAACTTAATTTACAAAATTGCCTTTTTAATTATAATGTCTGGCTTTTGCAAATGCTTGAACACTCTAAACGCAAGAGAGCAGAGTAGACGGACAGAGACTTAAATTGTTCATAATTTTTTATTTTATTTTATGTATTTAATTCTTCGTTAAGTTAAAAGTTCATAATTTTTATAGATTATGTTTAATTTATTTTGGACAAATGATTATGTATCTTTCATGTTACTAATGTGTGATACTACATTATTGATATATGAATATATATCAATAACAAATAAGTTCATGTCTGATAATCTGGTTATATTAATTTGATATAGGATATCAGTGATATATTATTGTATATCATTTATATATAAGTGATATTTGTAAAAACTTACAAATACCATTTTATCTTATAGATATGAAGATGTTTAATTTCATTATTTCTTGTAATGGAAATATGATTCAAACAACTGTTATATCGATGATTCATATTTTGAAGTGCTTGTGGAAGATACAACTTTATATCTTAATATCACAGAAATTGTCTACGAGAAATTGCGATTGAATGCAAGTCATGAGATTAAATTGATAGTTTCTTTTGATATTGGGACTTCAACATATAATTATTTAAAGGTAAAAAATAACAATGATTTGATATGATATTTTAATTTGTTAAGAAATTCTAACATATTTAACTTTTCATTGATTGTGTTTATTTCTAATGGACCTTTGTCCATATATAAGAAGCGTTTGAATCTTGTCATAAATGAGCTAGTTTTTTAACTCTATGTTTTTATATATTTATCAATAATAAGCATTATAGTAGAGATAATGAGCTTTTGCAAATAGATGATATTGAGGAGGGAGATGTATTTTTTGACAAATTGAATGTTCAAAAAGTTTTGCAACTTTTAGCTATGAAAGAGAATTTTGAATACAAGACTTTCAAATCAAATGGTTAGAGGCCTGTTATTTCTTGCAACGTTGATGGTTATAAATGGTATATGAGGGCCTCGATGGTTTATTTTACTTGGGTTTAGGTCATTAGAGGATATGTTAAGGACCATACTTGTGCTACTAATATTGTGTGTGGTGATCATAAGAAAGCAATAAGTCTTATCATTAATGAATGTGTGAAGTAAAAATCTTCGACAAGCGCTTGAATGTATAAACCACTCACATGATGATTGTTTGAATCTCATTCTCCATTATAAGAAATGACAATATTAAGCATTCTTATATCTACAACATAAAATGGTGTTGGTAAGTTTTCATTGATATGGCTTATTTATTAGTAATATACAATAGTATATCACTGATATACTATCACAAATTAACATAACAAGACAATCAGATATAAATTTATTTATCACCGTATATTAATAATATAGTATCACAGATTAGTAATACAAAAAACGCATAATCATTTGCTTAAAATTGATCAAATGCAATATGTAAAAAATTCTAAACTCTTAACTTATCACAGACAATCAAATACTTAAATTAATAAAATAAAAAATTATGAACAGTGAAAGTAATAATCCAAACAAGGTTTCATAATCAGTGAGAACAAATCACATGTTATGAACAAATGAATAACTATTTGGTGAAGATATTATCAAGAAATATAATGATAGCAAATGATAGATAATAGATTCCAACCTATTGTTCAACTTCCAAAAACCAGAATTTAATGATTAATCCTGCAAATATTGGATAACGCTATTGAAAAATATTTGATAGTGATCCTCTTGGGGCAAAAAAGGAAAGAAATGATTGTAAAATGAGAAAAAATAAGATGATTGTGTGTACGTGAAATCAATTCAATTAGTTGAAGGTTAAATAATTTAGTTGGATATTATAATCATTTAATTACACAAGATATATTCTTGGTCCAATTCATGAGAAAGTTATTATTGCATGTTTTATATGTTTGTTCTGTAAATAGAAAAAAAAATAACTTTCAACTAATTTTATGAATGGAATATATTTTAAAATATTTAAAAAATATATTCATAATTTTTGAAAATTCTATTTTCCACATCCATTGGTCCAATATTCTCTCGTGGGAGTATTGGTTGAGTCGCATGAAAATTTGAGGAAATCTCAATCTGAATGTGTTTAAATAAAAACAAAAACCCGCCGCTTACGCCACTATCACCAGTGCAGTGAAGAGAAGGAGAAGACCGGCAGCATTAAATTCAAAGCGGTGGTTCTGGTGAGATCTGGGTGACACAAAATATGCGGAAAAAGATATACATGGACATAAAGTTGAGCTCTTGGACGAAAACGGAAAGATTTCAAACTGAGACTCTGGTTGTCTATAAAGTGCAGGAAAATTAAAGCAGCAACACCACCAGAAATTATGGCTTTCGAGGAAGAGGTAGACGATAAGAACATCTCTGAGACAGAACTATCTAAGATTCCTCTCATGAGAGCTTTCGTTGAATCCAAGGATCCCTCTGCTAAGGTAATCATTTTCACTGTCTATTTTGCTGCTTCTATTTCCAACAATTTTGCTTCTTTTGATGGCTTCGATTTTTTTCCTCTCCGATGGTTAGATCTCTCTGAGACTTTGTGAAAAGAACAATTTGTTTACTCGGATCTCGAAGTGATTCTTCGGCCCCCTTCTGTTTTTGACAATGCCTGCAGCTTTATTGGACATCTTTAGTAGCCATGATTTCGAAAGATATTGTTCATTTTCTTACGTTGAGGCTAACTGGTAAAGTGGTAATATTTCAGGAATATGATGATTTGACGATCAGAAGATTCTTGCGCGCTCGTGAACTAGATATAGAAAAGGCTTCATCAATGTTCCTGGAGTTCCTGAAATGGAGAAGCTCATTTGTTCCAAATGGTTCTATTTCTCTATCAGAGGTTCCAGATGAACTTGCCCAGAACAAGATGTTCATGCAGGGATTCGATAAGAAAGGACGTCCCATAACAGTTGTCTTTGGAGCAAGACACTTTCAAAACAAAGTTGGTGGTCTGGACGAATTCAAACGTGAGTTTTCAATCACGAAATCCTCTGACAGTTTTGAAATCTGCCACCGGAATTCAATTCTTACGTACAAACTAAATTCGCTTGTACAGGTTTTGTAGTGTACTCTCTTGATAAACTGTGTTCAAGGTAATTCGTCTCCCTTTGTTGTTATGATGCTGAACCTGTACTTAGAACAGTGAAACAGCACAAGTTTGTAACTTTTAAAGTAAAATACCATTTGGTGTTTCTCAGGATGCCAACTGGTGAAGAGAAGTTTGTAGGTATAGGAGATCTTAAAGGATGGGGATACTCAAACTGTGATATCCGTGGTTATCTTGGTGCTCTAAAAATTTTGCAGGTAAAGTTAAAATTATTTCGTCCTGACATACGCAGGATAAGTAGTTCAACAAGACAATAGAATTCTATCAAGAATTTAAGATGGGTATGTTAGTTCATCAACTGCATCTTGATCAAGAATCATATTTTGAATATTTTCATGGTGGGTTTCTTGTGGTTGCAGGATTATTACCCAGAAAGGCTGGGTAAGTTATTCATAGTAAACGCACCCTCCTTATTTATGACGGCTTGGAAGATTGTTTACCCTTTCATTGACAAGAAAACCAAGGAGAAGGTGACATTTTAGAAATCTGCACACACACACACACACACACACACACACACACTCGTGCATGTGATTATTTTATGATTGGACAATGTTTGCACAGATTGTGTTTGTGGAGAACAGTACGTTAAAATCAAGATTGCAGGAAGATATAGAGGAGGATCAGCTTCCGGAGACATACGGGGGAAAGATGCCATTAGTCCCCATCCAGAATTGCTAGTTAATAACAAGCAATCTCAATTAATGTGGGGGAAATCAAAATAATCATATTTTGTTCCTTTGTATTTATGTGGGCTTGCTAATTTCTTCTTCCTTTACATAAATCTGTGTTGTATGGGATGCCATGTGAGGATATGATATACTAGAATTATATAAAAGTGCCGGTTTCTTTTATTATTTGTTAACAATAGACGTTAGAGCCCAATTCATTGAACATGTAATAAACTGTTCGTGCTGAGCATCAACTCGTCTTTTTGTCTGTTGAAGTGTTGATTCAGGCAACCTGACGGAGTAGGAAAAATCAAGTACCTTCCATGACCCGACTTTAAATTCAGAAGTACAAAACGAGAATGCAGAAAATATGCATATTAAAAGGAAAATCAATGCTCTCTTGATTGAGTATTATAAGATTTTTCATGTCAAAAAATATAAAATATTTTAAGTTTTTTAAAATATAATCAATAAAATATTTAATTAAAACACTTTTAAATAAAGATATATTTTAAAATATTATATAATTTTAAAGGAAAATGACAATTACAAATCTCAAGAAGGCATTAATGATAATTTAAAATTAGGGGTGGGAACAGGTCAAGTTACTATTAAAGATTTATCTAAAGCTTGATCTAGCTTATTTATTAAATAAACTCAGGTCAGGTTTGATCATTTAATTAAACTTATTTAGTTAAATAAATCATGTTTAATTTTAAAAAACCTTAAAATGCTCTCATTTCATGTTACTAATTTCAATAATTATAACACTATCAAATCAATTATAGGCCTACGTTTTTAAACCAAAAAAAAAAAATGGATTATAAGATGATCTTCTTAGTCGAAGACCAAGACATGAGTTACAAGACACTCCCCACTTTGTTCGAAGACCAAGATTGAAGGCAAACCGAGCATCTTCGGAGCAATGCAAAGGATTTCCTACTAAAAAAACATAAGACTTTGATAAGCTATTTGTTGCACTTGCTTATGAGGTAATTTCATCGATTTATTAAATTTTTAATTGTAAGTTAAAACCATAATTTTTAAAAGAAATTTCGCTTTTTTGAAGATTTGAAATTGTCATTAATACTTTTTTGGGTTTATAATTGTCATTTTTTCTAATTTTAAATGTTATTGACTAATAATTTATTAGAGAATATAAATTAATTAAAAATGCCAGAAGCATGTCAGTTTAAAACATCCTCATCTATGTCATTTATATGGGAGTTAGAGAATTTATTTTGACTTTATTTATAAAGTATTTTTATTAATTTTGTATCCATTTTTATTTCATTTTATTTTTATCTCTATTAAATGCTGCCGACAATCAAAGCAATTTATTAAATGCATTACCTGCGAAAAAGGAAGGCTCACCTATTGGCTGTTGGCTAGAAGTTGGCTTCACACAGCTATAACTTCAAGGCTCAAAGGCCCCACATCCAAGTACCTTTCTTCTTGTTTTCCAGCAAAAGGAAATTACATATAAGTTTCAAATAATACAACTACATAATTAAAGAAAGAAAAATGACAAGTAATTTTGAACCTCAAAATAATTCTTCCTTCAAAGTACCTTCTTGCAGTTGTTACTTGTCAGAAATACCAAGGGGCATGAATGGATCATGGTTCATAGATACTCTCTCTCAGAACCCCCTGCGTGGTTCTTGCACTTCTCATGGACGCCTTTCGTGTGGATTATTCTTGCACTTCTCTCTCTCTCTCTCTCTCTTCTCAACAAATTTTTTTCGACAGCCTCTTCCGGAGTGCAAACCACCGAAAATTCATCGATTACATTTTTCTCTTGCTTCATTATGGGAGACTTTAACAACTCTACCTGCATGATTTGATATGGCACGGGAATTCAATGGGTCATCCATATTACTGCGCAGTCAGAGACAGCGACTGAACCATGGGGGCTCTCAAGTGGGGCAGATAGTACTGTTTGTGTAATTATTCAGTAGCTAGCATCAATCCAAATCAATTTCTTTGACAACGCCTAAGGTTTTGTTTGTCACGAAGGATTGAAGGAGTGAGACTGGAACTGAGACTAAATAATTTTATGTTTTTATATTTGATAGGTAGGATTAAAAAATTTAATATCAAACCCAATCTTATCTAAATGCGATCACCCACTACCACCTCTCCTTGTATTGGAAAATTAATTTTAAAATTAATTTTTTTTGATTAAATTACCCCGTTCTCTCACTCTCCTCTCTCTCCCTGCCTTCGTCGTCCCTTGCCCTCTGGTCCCTCCCCCCGTCCTCTAGCCATCTCGTCTCTCTCCTAAGTAAATAACCTCCCTTGCACTTATGGCGTCTGACGACTAATGGGTTGGAGCTTGAGTTTGAGTTTTATCCATTCGTCTTCCTCCCTTCCCCTTCTATTTAGATCTAATGTCTTTCCCTAGATTTTTAATTTAAGCTTCATAAATTTTTGGGCGGTGATTATTTGTTTTTTTTTTTACAACTTTTTCAAATTGCAACAAAGTGAAGCATGATGTAGATAATGGAAGGAATAATGGTTCAGGAACGATTGGAAGATTTGGGTGGAAGAAAGAAGACGAGGGCATTTATATTTTTTTTATAATATTTTTGGTTTAATTTCAAACTCATTTTTTTAATCCCTTATTATGCCAAATATTATTTTAAAATTTATTTTCACTCCTAATCTCACTTTCAATCTGGTTCTCATTCCCAATCTTTCAATATGTAATATCCCCTGTCAAATAGGGCCTAAGGCTCTTGTACAAAAAAATAAAATAAAATAATCCACAGATTATTGGTCCAAAACAAAAATTTATCTTATCATAAAATTTGAATAATCACTCAGCCTCAAATTATATAACATTCAAATTGTAAATAAATTAGATGGGTAGACCCGACTCATGTGAACCTAACACTTAAGGGCTCAGGCTCTTAAGTCCAATTTTTTAAAAATATCTCATTTTTAAAGCTTAATTTTATATAAAAGGTTTAAGATTAGGCTCGTAAATTATTATTATTATTATTATTATTTTATTTTTTAAAATTTTTAAAAATTAACATTTTTAATTATAATATTTCATATATATTTAAAAAATACAAATTATAATGTTTAAAAATTAAAAATAAATAATATAAATTTTAATTTTAAAGTATAAACATATATTTTAAAATTTAAATTTAATTTAAAAATTTAAAATATTTTATTTTTTAAGAGAAAAATAAAAATAAACTTAAAAAGACCGCCAATCCGTTTTCTCAAACTCAAAAGTCCAATTTTCTTTAAAAATTTTATATTTTCAAGTTTTTAAATCCTTATAAAAATAGACTTAAACAAATAACTTTTCAAACTTGACTTTTATTATTGACTCTAAAAATAATATGAACAAAATTATACAAATTAATAAAATACAATAATAATACTTTACAAATTTATTTTTTATAATAAAATTATAAACTCATAAAAATATCCTACATCTTTATTCATTACATTATAACATCATTTAATTTTTTCTTTACTTAAAGAGTAATGTTAATAAAATAAACATTTCTTCCAAAATTATTTTATAATTGAGAACAAGTGAGTGTCACATAATCTCCTTTTGTTTTCTCCCAAGTGGATAAAATACAAACACCACCCCCCCCCCCCCCCAAAAGCATATCTAATAATCTACCCTCGGCGTAGTACAAAATTGTGTTCGGCGGGAAGAATGGAAACTTTTGTAATATTAACTTTGGGGGGACCAACCAATCCCAAACCCAAAACACACGAGACGAAATGCGAACCAATACCTCATCATCTTACAGGTGAGATAACAGGTTGGCTATGGTGAAAACCTTTACCCCTTTTCACAAAGATTAACAGAGTGTTTTCAACCCTACAATTCTGAAAAGGACCTTGAAATTGCACAACGATCAATGAATGGAGAATTTTATATGTACAGTCTTTACATGACTAGAAACTAGCTCGGTTGGATATTTCTGGCTCGCACGTAAGTCAAAAATTGCGTAGGTAATTCCGCTAGAAGTGCTTGAACTACCGAAATCTCTCCACCTGCAAGGGGCATATAACATTTAGAGGCGCTTAATCAGCTAGGAATACGCTGCAAACGTTTCTATTGTAATTTGCAAGCTGATACCTACTTTGAACATCCCGAAATGGAACAAATTGGACTATATCGCGCGAAGCAACCCGACCAGATGAACTTTCAAGCCTCTCTCCCTTGTCAGCGTCCAGAACCTGCCCAAGAAACGGAAAGTAACACTGAATATAACAGTGAATTACACTCGATAAATTACATTTGCACCTATATGTTCCAAAAATATCATCTGACTGTTTGACATTTGATTTATCTTCGCAGAAACATTATCTACATTTCGGCCAGTGAAATCAACTTATTGTACGCACTAATGTAATTTTATCCTTAACCGACTTGAAAAGGAAGCTGTTTTGATTTTACACTTCAACATGAGATTATGATGCTATTTTTAACATGAAAATAAGGGTAGCTCCACAATTTCGTTTTTTAAAAGAATACACTTTTTAAAAAAATAACTTCATTGACAACAAAAAACCAGAATAAAAAAGTTTTCGCAATATATATTACATGCCAGGTTGAGCAATATTTTTAAAGAGAAAAGGTATCACGTACGATTTATTTAAACTTCAAGGGAAGTAATGAGATTTATTCAAATATGGCAATATCAACTTTACACGTAATGAGAAGAAAAGTTGGATCTAATACCTCCATTTCTTTGAAATCAGCTCCACCAACTCCAAAAATAAGAATTGACAATGGCAGATCAGATGCTTTAACGAGAGCGTCTTTTGTTTCTTGGAGATCTGTAACTACTCCATCCTGGGATGATATCAATTAAATCTCAGAAGAGAAATTGAAAATCAACGAGGTGGAACAATCGTAAACTTTCTTGTCACTTCTCAGTATAAATTATCTGTAGTGTGGAGGACCGAATATAAGAACCGTCCTTTACCACACCGGGCCCTAGAATAAAATCGATGCATGTAATACATGCAACAAGCAAATAATAAAATAAGCACGGAGTTATAATTAAAGTCACATTAACTTCCACAGATAAATAAGCAAAAATAGTATAGTTCTTACGGTGATAATTAACAAAACAAAATACTTTCGTCCACCATTTGCAAGAGATTGGCTGGCCAAAGAGCAGCAGCGCTTATGACAGGTCCAAAAAGAGTTGGCCCAGCAAGTGAAACATTAAAGAGGGCACTTGTGTATGCTGCCATAATTCCTTGGATCCCTTCCACCTGCAATAGAAAGACATGAATAAATATTGAGGAACTACAACTATCACGTTGTGGTGAAAACCCCCGGGGAGTGGGGAGGATCAGGCTTTGCAGTTCAACCTCACAGTAATGGCTGCTTCCATTCAAGTTGAAACAATGAGAAACAGGACCATCAATTGGTCGTGCTCCAAAACCCCATGTAGGAAACCTCTTGTCCGAATCATAAAACTTAACACGTCCCCAACCTCTAAAATTGCCTGATAAAAAACGTTCATAGCTCATGGATAAGAAAAAAAAAAAAAACAAGTAGAATAATGAATCAAATTTGGAATCAAGAATCATTTCTCACCTTTTGGTATGCATTGGGCCGACCTGAAGGATCTATATAATGTAAAGAATCAGGAAGACGTGGATTTCCATTTGAAGCTGATAAATGAGAGAAGTTAGGCCACTACAACATCTTGACTCTTTGGTATCGCATATATAACCAGAATGTCTAGAGGATATATAATTTTACTTTGAAGAATGGCCATGCAAGGTAAACCCTACACAGCAGCCTCCAAATTATACACATGTAACACATCACAATATTTCCTAATATAAAAGTAATAAAAAAACATTTTTTATTAAAAAAAAAAGATTTAAAAAGCATGTCAAGTTTTACACCAGTGCCATATAATATACATTGAAATTTGACACGTGTATTGGGTTGGCATGTGGAGTACCTGTGAAATCAACAGCCACCATGAAGTTCAATTCAAATCCCGCAGCCAAGTAATCAAGGAAAGTATGTTGGACACTTTGAGTAAGCCTGTCCACATATAGTTGGCTCTTTAATACCTGTATCATACTTGAAACACGTACAAGCATTCAAGATTCAAATAATCCTCACTAATAAAAGACCTTGTTATGATTAACAGAGAGAGGTATTCATGCGGAAATAAGCTTGATTAATATTATAGACCTTGTTATGATAATTTTGTCCACCAGCAGTTGGCAAGAACAAACTTTCTCCTAGACCACCAGAATGAAGCTTTTCCAGCTCCACCAAAGATTTCTGCACTTTTCTGTTATTTAAGAATAATCATAATTACCCTACATTTTGTCTTGGGCATGGAGATAAGAAAAAGAAAAAGGACAGCTATGAAAGAGTTTATTACCCTATTAAATCATGTTTGCCATTGCTATTGAAGTTGTAGCATTCTATTATTAACGGATTATCCTGTGTGTCATAAGAATGGAAAATAATGAGGGGATTTTATGATCAAATCCCAAATTTATTGTCACTATTATGGGTCCCTGTTTTGCATGAAGTCTTAGAAAAAAGTCACACTATTTATGGTTCACGAATAGTACAACTTGTTAAAAGTTTTATATTATATATAGATATGTAGAATAAGTCAAGTGCCAGCATATAATTGTGACAAAGAAACATACCAGCACTATTTTTTTATTAAAAAAAAAACTAGCAGTACTCTTTAATTTAAGCTATGTAAAACAGTTAGTAAGATAAAACAAAAAACTGAACAAAAGGGTATCTACACACACACACACACACACACACACACTTTTTAATGAATAAAGTGCTCATTTTGAACTCAATAGAACATGAAGCAATGACCTTCCAATAAATAATACCTAAAAAAACACAAGGAACATGACATGTCTATTTATTCAAACATGACCAAAATCAGAAATATCTTCACAAAAGTAAGATAATCATGCCAAATGATAATTGTCCTTTGTCATTAGATTTCATACCTTGCTTCCTACTTGCTGAATATTCAAGAACACTGGCTTCCAAATTGGATTGAGATCATTCTTTATAACTTCTGTTTTGCAAATGGGAATTTGGGTACCACCTTCCACAAATTTTGAAATTAATAAAAAGGGATCCTGCATGACAAACAAAATCATGACTGGCACCAAAACTCATGATCCTCACATACTAGCAAAAAAAAGGGGGGGGGGGTATGCCCATACGCTCTTTAAGAAGAGATCTTTATTTTCCAAATCTGAACACCGGAATGTCATCTCCATTGTAGTCTTTGAGCTGACACATTCCTCTGCATGCACCAATAGCTTCCCACAATTTTGAGAGTGGGTTGATCTGGTGGCATGATCTTTGTACAGATCTAATGTCAATGATCGATTGGATTTCATAATTATCTGCACAGGCCGAACTGCTAATGTCAATGGGTTTAATTGTTGGGATGTTAATTTATTATTTTTGTAACAAATAGGGCAGCCTTTGATAGAAAATATGGCAAATATTACTTTAGAAGGAAATAATTTATTACTTCTTATTGCTTTTCATAAGTTTATTAGTTTGTTGCTCTTCATTTAATTTTTGTAAGATTCCTTCTTGTAAAGGAAACCAGGCAGCAAGTGGACATTTCCTTGTTAGGAAGGAATTTTTGTAAGTTTCCTTCTTGTGAAGAAAACCAGGCAGCAAGTGGACATTTCCTTGTTAGGAAGGAAACCTCATGCTTATAAATAGCATGACTTGTGTATTCAGGAGGCAATGAATGTTTGAAGCATTATGATTTTTTGAAAGCTCCATCTCTCTCAGTTCTATGTCTCTCTTCTGTTCTCCCTCTCATATTTTAGTCACTTCTCTCTCTTTTCACCTTTTCTGTTCTCACTTCCCCTCCACCTCCCACTCTCTGTTTCTGTTTCTTCTCCCTTATCCTATTCTGTTCAAATAAATGTGAGCGTGAGTGTTTGTGTTTTACATCAGCCTTATTTCTGTGAGAGCCTCTAGCACCAAATACATTATGCAATGAACAATGGCAAAAGGATAACTGGAGTAATACGGTCAACTCGATTGGGCCCCATGCATTGCATTTAGTTTAAGAAGAGCCGTCCTTGTGAATAATATGGCCTTCTAAGGATTATACACACACACACATGGAAAAATGTGTCTAGTTATTTGTAAATAAGGAAGTAGGCCATCAAAGCTTACATCAGGAATGCTCTTATCCTAATGTTTCCTCCATTTTTTTAAGCGTGTATTATCTATTTCCTTCATAAACCCTGCATGTACACTTTTCTTGGTGCTTAAGAATGGAACAAATGATCAGAAAGATCCAGGTTCATTGACAGAACTTTTCTCCGTCTTGCACATTTCAAGTCACCAAATAGTATAGACTTTTCATCTACTTGCAACACATCACAAGAAAAAAAGTATATTAGTCTTCATGTTACCTCAGATAATGCACAGGTTGCTTCACCCAGAAATTGCTGCTCTTCTAGTTTAAGCATCTGCCCAAGTCAACCAAATTGTTACAATCTGGAGCATCTTAAACTCTTATGCTTTGCCAACTTGATAGGACATTGCCATCTAATTAGTAAGCACATCAAAAGTATCCACTATAGGTACTATTATCTTTTCATGAAAAGAAAAGGAATATAAAAATCATTCATCATATCTTAAGTTATTCAAGGGAATAACTTATAAGCATAAATGCATCATAATACTGTACCTTTACATCTACATTGTGAAATTGAGTATCAACATCATAGACACGAAACCTGTGATGGAAAAATTTTAACAGAGATACACTTGGTCAAACAACAAGATGGTCATATGCTTTATTAGAAGTAAAAATATCAGCATTTAAACTTACACTAAAAACTGAACAACCTCAAAATGATACATGAGATTATGCTTTGTAATCCATGTGGGATTCAAGGAATTTAGAACTACTTCAGTGCGGCCAAGTTCCTCAAGTGCTCCATTTTTCCCTCTTAAATAAAGAATCATCATTGGATCACTCTGCAGCAACAAGAGCTAAATAAATAAAAATAAGACATGAAATGTCAACTTTCTAGATATAGATGCAAGAGATGACTAAATGTTGAGAATATTAAGCATAAAAATTATGACATGTTTTTATAATAATGTTATCAAGCAGCACAACTGTTAAAAATTAATCTGCAACAATGAAATATGACAGTCTCCCTTGATCCATATGGCATATAAGCTGAACTACATTAATGAAGCCCAGCTTAAATTCCTTCATCTCTCACTTGAGAGTAAAAATTGAACACATAAATACTCCTATCTTGCATGGAACAATACACAGTCACTGAATTTTGTGGGTTAATGATATTTTCAATTTATATTTTCCCCCACTCTCTTCAAAAAGATCATCCAGAAAAATATATTTGATATATCAACGGACCATTGAAGAACCAATTGTCTAGAATAATATTATGCCTGCAATTGCCCTGAATTCTCCTTACTAGAAATAGTCGATTTCCAATTACCAATGTGATTTGACATAAGACATATCTGGGATTATCTTATACCAGAAAGTCCTCTGCCCATATGAATGCTCCAGCAGTTAAGATGGAAGTGCCAATGACAGGAGGGAACAACTAAACTGTTGTATGTGTGTCAAAAGTGTGTGTGTGTCAAAGTCCCACATTGATTAAAAGAAAGACTCTCCTAGTGTATATATACTAAGGAATGAAGTGGGCTAGTAAAATGGGTTTGGAAGAGAAGTGGCCTCGCGCACATGAGACAGGCCAACTCAGGGCAATCGCAGTTGAAATCAGCCGATTCGCCCCCCCTGCGCGCGAGTTCAAGAGGTAGTAGGTTCCTTTTACCGGATTATTTTTACAAATAAATAATTATTTTGGCTTGTCGGAGAAACCCAAATTTTGGCTGTTTGGAGTTTGAAGTCAAACCAAGAACGTTTAGACAAATTAATTTTTTCTAAACGTTTGTCTTCCCAACGTTCCCAACGTTTCCAGACAGGAGGTTGAATGCGTTTTGTGTAACTCCAACGTTTCCAGACAAGCTTTTAAATAATTTTTATGAGACTGTAACCGAGCTTTTAAACCGGTGGTAACCCCCCAACGTTCATGTCCACCTTCGGGCTATATATAGCCATGGGTTCAGACAGAGCGAAATACAGAAAGCCTCTTGAGTCCTCGCGGTTCTCTCTTCCTCCCTTGTGAATTTGTCTGTGCACGTTTGTGATTACGTTTGGTCTCCGTTGTTCTGTTCCCTCATTCCACCGAGGAGGTGCTTGTTTAATCCTGGGGAACTGCCGGCCGTCAGACGGTGTGCCGAAATAGTTCTTAAGGACAGTGTCCTTCCGAGCACGACTCAAACAACCAATCAGGTGTCGCTGTCCACGCCTGCCGCCTGTGTGGCCAACAATCTTAAGAACTATTCAACCCAATGGCGACCAACAGTGCTAAGAATATCACTCCCGAGGGTGTGCCGAGTGGTTCGGCCGGAGGTCAGTACGTCCCTGCCGCTGTTGCCGTCCCTTTACCGAGGCCGTTTCCAGACATATCGAAGATAGAAGTCTTTGATGGCCGGAACTTCAAACGCTGGCAAGAATGTGTCTTCACCGTCCTTGGCATGCATGGTGTGGCTGCTGCTCTTGCTCAATCCGAGCCTCCTGCTGATACTGATCAAGCCCAGCGAGTTGCATGGACTCATGCAAACAAGGTATGCCGACACACTATATTAGCACTTTATCTAATGATTTGTTCGATGTCTACTATGTCTACAAGGAAGCTTGTAAGATATGGGAGTCCCTGGTTACAAAGTACATGCTGAGGATGCCGGTAAACAAAAGTTCGTTATGGGCAACTACTATAAATGGGAGATGACCGAAAACAAGGATGTGAAGGAGCAAATCAATGAATATCATAAGCTGCTGGAGGAGCTTCGTGCTGAAAACATCAACCTTCTAGACGAGTTCGTTGCTGGGATACTGATTGAGAAGCTGCCAGAATCATGGTCTGACTACAAACAGCAGCTGAAACACAAACAGAAGCAGCTATCCTTGACTGACTTGATTATTCACATCATCATCGAAGACACCAACCGCAAGGCAATACATGCAGCTCGAACTAGAGAAATGACATCCAAAGCCAACTTAGTGGAGACAAAGCCTCACAGCAAGAGGTATGATTCTAAAACTAAAGACAAGAGGAATAAAAATCTGATTACAAACCCAATGCTTCTAACCCCTCTTTCAAAAAGAAAGGAGACTGTTTTGTCTGTAGCAAACCAGGACACTATGCAACACAGTGTAGGAAGAGAGCAACCCGTGATAAGCCTTGAAAGCCAAATGTAAATTTGGTACAACGAGATGGTGACAGTGATGATGACATCATTGCTGCAGTGGTGTCACAAGCTCTCTTGATTTCTGATGTGAAGAAATGGGTGGTAGACTCCGGGGCTACCAGGCACATATGTGCTAGCCAAGAGATGTTTACCACCTATAATCCTGTAAAGGAAGGGGAAGACCATGTTTACCTTGCTGATTCCCGAACTGCTAAGGTTCAAGGAAAAGGGAAAGTGGTCTTAAAACTCACATCAGGAAAGACTCTGGCTCTGAACGATGTTCTGCATGTGCCTGAAGTTAGAGTTAACTTAGTGTCAGTTGTTCTTTTAGGGAAAGCTGGGGTTAAAGTGTCATTTGAATCTGATAAGATTGTAATGACAAAAAATAATGTGTTTGTAGGCAAAGGGTATTATAATCAGGGACTGTTTGTTTTGAATGTTGATGAAATGAATAAGATTGAATCTTCTGAGTATATGCCTGTTTATATGGTTGATTCCCTTGACCTGTGGCATGCTAGACTAGGTCACGCTAGTAAAGGTTATATAAATAGGATGCGACAACTTGGATTACTTTCTGAAATTAAAAACAATGTTTTTGAAAAATGTGAAGTATGTGCAGAAACTAAACAAAGTAAAAAACCTCATTTTTCTAGTCAAAGAAAATCTGAATTACTATCTTTAATTCACACAAATTTAGGTGACTTAAAACAAACCATGACTAGAGGTGGTAAAAAATATTATATCACTTTTATTGATGATTTTTCAAGATATACTAAAGTATACTTGTTAAGAAACAAAGATGAGGCTTTTGAAAAATTTCTATTATATAAAGCAGAGGTTAAGAATCAATTAAACAAAAGAATTAAAAGGGTTAGATCGAATAGAGGAGGAGAATATATTTTGTTAAATGATTTTTGTGAAAAAAAAGAAATTATACATGAGATAACACCTCCTTATTCTCCCGAGTCTAATGTGTTGCAGAAAGGAAAAATAGAACATTAAAAGAAATGATGAATGCTTTACTTGTGAGTTCTTCTGCCCCTGATAACTTGTGGGGAGAAGCTATTTTGTCTGCATGTTTTTTACAAAATAGGATACCACATAAGAAATCAAAGAAAATACCTTATGAGTTATGGAAAGGGTTTACCCCAAACTTAAAATATTTGAAAGTGTGGGGGTGTCTTGCAAAAGTTTTATTGCCTGATCCTAAAAAGAGGAAAATTGGCTCTAAAACTTCTGATTGTATGTTTATTGGATATGCTGAACAAAGTGCAGCGTATCGTTTTTTAGTTTTAAAAAGTGATGTTTTAGACCAAAACACAATTGTTGAGACTAAGATGCTGAATTTTTTGAACATATTTTTCCCTTGAAAATTAAGCATGTTTCTAAACCTGTTGAGAATTTAGAGTTTGAACAAAATTTAAATGAGAATTTGGTTTTAAGGAGAAGTAAAAGACAAAGGAAAGAAACAAGTTTTGGAGATGATTTTTACACTTATTTAGTACAAGATGAACCGTTAAATTTTTATGAAGCTATTTCTTCTCCTGATGCCAAATTTTGGAAAAAAGCAATTGAAATTGAAATGATTCTTTAAGGAAAAATAAAACTTGGGTTTTATCAAATTTGCCCCAAGGAGCTAAGGCTATTGGGTGTAAATGGATTTTTAAGAAAAAATATTTTCCAGACGGTTCAATTGATAAGTATAAAGCAAGGCTTGTGGCCAAAGGTTTTACTCAAAAAAAATATAGAGTATTTTAACACATTTTCTCCTGTGACTAGAATCTTTTCTATAAGAGTTCTTATTGCTTTGGCTTCAATTTACAAATTTTTTGTTCACCAAATGGATGTTAAAACCGCTTTTTTAAATGATGATTTAGAAGAAGAAATATACATGGTACAGCCTGAAGGATGTGTGATTCCTGGGCAAGAAAATAAAGTTTGTAAACTTGTGAAGTCTTTATATGGTTTAAAACAAGCGCCTAAGCAATGGCATAAGAAACTTGATCAAGTTTTGACAACTAATGAATTTTCTACTGTTGAAGTAGAAAGATGTGTTTATACAAAGTTTGTAAATAATGATTGTGTGATTATATGCTTGTATATGGATGATATGCTAATTTTTGGCTCTAGTATGTGTATTGTTAATGAAACAAAAAATTTTCTTTCTTCAAATTTTGACATGAAAGATATGGGTGAAGCCAAGGTAATTTTGGGTGTAAAAATCATAAGGAATGAAAATGGAATCTTGCTTTCCCAAGAACATTATGTTGAGAAAATCCTCAAAAGTTTGGACATCTTGAAGATGCTCCTTTAAGTACTCCTTATGATTCGAGTGTGCAATTAAAAAAGCACAAGGGTGACCCAGTTGCTCAATCTGAGTATGCACAGATTATTGGGAGTCTGTTGCATTTGATGAACTTTAATAGGCCTGATATAGCTTATGCTGTAGGCAGATTGAGTAGATATACTCACTGTCCAGGCAGTAAACACTAGGAGGCTCTGGTGAGAGTCTTGAGATATTTGAGAGGTACCATGAATTATGGTATATTGTATAGTGGATTTCCCGCTGTATTGGAAGAATACAGTGATGCTAACTGGATTTGGATTCAGAAGAGACAAAATCCACTAGTGGTTATATATTCACTCTTAGTGGTGGTGCAATAACCTGGAAGTCTGCAAAACAGACGATCAACACAAAATCCTCAAGGGATTCTGAGTTTATTGCAATGGAGCTGGCTGGGACTGAAGCTGAGTGGTTGAAAAACTTCTTAGCAAGTATTCCAATAGGTGAAAAGCCCACACCATCAGTGTCTTTACATTGTGATAGCCAATCTGCAATAGCAACGGCTAAAAATAAGACCTTCAATGGCAAAAGTAGACATATTCGATTGAGACATAATATTATAAGGCAGCTGCTTAAAGACGGGGTCATCTCAATCGATTATGTGAGATCAGAGTTAAATCTGGCGGATCCGTTAACTAAACCCCTAAGGAAGAAATTTATTATTGAAACGTTGAGGGGAATGGGACTTAAGCCTGTTTGAAACTAACGGTGATGGCAACCCAACCTTTGTGATTGAAGATCCCATGAAGAAGGTTCAATGGGTAAGAACAAGTCACTTGTTAGTTCTGCTAGCATTGAATTTTGTCCCTTCCTATGGCTTGAGAAAGTGCTAGAATGCATTGAACGAGGCTGAGCGATAGCTCTTAATGTTTTCATAGTCCTTACGGATGGTGTATTCATTGCAGATACACTTGATGAAAACACCTATACAAATGTGAAGTGAGGCCGCTCCTATGAGATCGTGGCAAAATCTCTAGAGCATTTGTTAAAACCAGGCAAGCGCATGGCCGATAACGTGCAAAACCATCGTTAACAGCAAGACTGTGGGGGTATAATCCGATTAATAAGACTTCTAGCACATGCTCAAGATCTGTTGGTTCAATAACGAAGTTACACCGACTTTTCTATGTACTAAGTTTTATTAGTCTAGGATTGGTTCAAGTCGACAGACACCAAATTCAAAGTGATTATCCTCCGTGTGAATAACTCAGACGAACATAGATTCTTTTGACACATGTGGGGAATTGTTGTATGTGTGTCAAAAGTGTGTGTGTGTCAAAGTCCCACATTGATTAAAAGAAAGACTCTCCTAGTGTATATATACTAAGGAATGAAGTGGGCTAGTAAAATGGGTTTGGAAGAGAAGTGGCCTCGCGCACATGAGACAGGCCAACTCAGGGCAATCGCAGTTGAAATCAGCCGATTCGCCCCCCCTGCGCGCGAGTTCAAGAGGTAGTGGGTTCCTTTTACCGGATTATTTTTACAAATAAATAATTATTTTGGCTTGCCGGAGAAACTCAAATTTTGGCTGTCTGGAGTTTGAAGTCAAACCAAGAACGTTTAGACAAATTAATTTTTTCTAAACGTTTGTCTTCCCAACGTTCCCAACGTTTCCAGACAGGAGGTTGAATGCGTTTTGTGTAACTCCAACGTTTCCAGACAAGCTTTTAAATAATTTTTATGAGACTGTAACCGAGCTTTTAAACCGGTGGTAACCCCCCAACGTTCATGTCCACCTTCGGGCTATATATAGCCATGGGTTCAGACAGAGCGAAATACAGAAAGCCTCTTGAGTCCTCGCGGTTCTCTCTTCCTCCCTCTGTGAATGTCTGTGTACGTCTGTGATTACGTTTGGTCTCCGTTGTTCTGTTCCCTCGTTCCACCGAGGAGGTGCTTGTTTAATCCTGGGGAACTGCCGGCCGTCAGACGGTGTGCCGGAATAGTTCTTAAGAACACGTCCTTCCGGGCACGACTCAAGCAACCAATCAGGTGTCGCTGTCCACGCCTACCGCCTGTGTGGCCAACATAAACTGCATGTCCTTTTACTCGTTTAGTGTTCACCATGGCCATCCCTTCACCTATATTTTAAATCTCAGCAAATTGGTATAAATTACACCAGAAGCAATACTGCAGCTGCAAGAATTTGCTCAATACTTTTATATCAAACAAACTTCAGATTCTGCATCATCATCTGCACTGACATCTTACACCAACTGAAGGGTGAGCTTTGTCATAAGTTATCAGCTAGAGATTGCAGGTCATGATTTCATGATCTATATAGCTACACAATCCTGATCACATTAAGTCGAATGTCACCTTAAGAGTTTTCCTTAACTTTATTATTCCGGAATATGCATAATGAAGTGCTTATCAAAACAATAGGTCCCAAATTATAGTTGAGCTGGAATAAAACCGAAATTAAAATGATAAATAGAAAAATAAGCCAGAATTTCTAAAGTGGATATTTTAACGCCAAAACCGGAGCTAACTTCTATCGAAATTAAATGGATTTGAACAAGGTTTTAAACATTAGCGACCGTGAAAAGTTACGAGATTCTACTTAGAGAGGTAGATTAACGAAATGCTTAATCAGCAAACCTTGGAGAGTACATCTCGGTCACGCAAGCCTGAAGCGGAATATGATAACTGCATCACGAAAGAGAACACAATAACACCTCCAAAATTCCAATTAAATCAGGCATGAATTAAAGCTCTGTCAGTGTAACCGATTCACGAGGTCACAGAAAAGGAATGTACAAAAAATACAGAGAAACATATTTCCACCAAACGGAGAACCTCGATCTGAGAGAAGAGGCCATTGTAGCCTCGAGACCTGAGGAACCTATCAACGGCATCATTGGGAGCATCGGCCGGACTGTGAGTACGGCCGGCCGTGCCGCCGATGGCCGCACTACCGCCGGCAACGTCGGAGCAGCAGTTGCCCATTCGAAGGTGAGCGTTGAAACCAGTGCGAGTAGCTTGACCTTAGAGGGCCCAGCGACCACAGCAGGCAACAAGCTGAGAACTCCAAAATAACGTCAATTTTAAAAAGAAACGATACCAAGTGCTGGCAATTAAAAACTTGATTTAAAAAAAAAAAAAAGAATTCGAGACCTCAAACCTCCATAAGGAAATAGAGGAAAGATCATTAAATTAAATTCGGTGATTTAAATTTCACAGTTTTTAAAAATATAAATTTAATTTGAAATATTCAAATTTCACATTAAAGAAGTAGTGGAAGGAGAAATTCATCAAGAAATACCCCTCCTATCTATGTCGCAATTTGGCAATTATTTATTAACCATCTCTTTCGCGGATTCTTCTTTATAAGTTGCAATTTATTCCTCCAAAAGAAACGCGTTTTACCCATGCTTTTATAAAGTCAATTTATTTTTTTGAAATATTTTTTAAATTTATATCTTAAAATATCATTTTTGGCCAAAAAAAATTCTTAAAATATCATTATTTTAATTTTGTTTCACTCAAATAATAAAATAATCATTTCATTAAACAAATTTGAGTTAGGTTTGGCCGTCGTCGGCCACAACTAGTGTAGTTGAGAGCAAGCTTGCCTGGAAGTTTCCTCTTCAATCACTTGACCTTGCCAAGGAAATGGGAATATGTGGATTGCGGGAGTCTGAGTCATAATTATTGGCAACGTCTTCATCCTCAGATAGGATGTCAAAGGAAAAATTAAGCAAAGCCAAACTTCTTGTCGATTCAATTCATCAATTCACTTGACCAGTTTCTCTTTGTATTTCAGTGCATGGAATGGAAAGGTATGTCGTTTTACTATGCACAGAAAATGTGTCAACTATTAATGAAATTGCAAAGAACAGAACCTAAAACAAATGAAAATAATAGCACACAAGTTGGTGTTCATAGTTTTTTTTAACGTATTATATTCATTACGAGGACAAGGACGCTTCTTTCATTATAAGGCATGATCTGATATCATGATGAGGGATTATTTGGTTACAACAGGTATACCTGCTAGTCATGGACAGCACATTATGAAGTTGTTAAAAGCTTAAAAAAGCAAATGCCACTAGCCAATAACTCTCCTTTAATCTCACACTTTCTCTCCTCAATGACGAGGCCCCTTTTACATATCAATATACTTTATCTGTTTGCCACAAATAAAATATGTTATATTACTTTATCAATACTGGTTTAAGAAAACTTAACCAGAAACTATTAGATTGCATAATTGTCTCCTTTCTTTCTATTTCCTCTCACATTTACACAGTATAGAGTGAGCATTTGAGGTATACCAGAGTGTGAAGCGTGCAATAGGTGTGCAGTGAAGGAGGAAGATTTCAAATTTTCAATCCCCTCGATTGATTAAGAAGGTTCAAACACAAATCGGAGAGAATTCAAATTCATAGAATAGTATAAATTAAAAGTGCAATACACGATAATGATGATGCATGAGTAGAATATACGTTAGAATCTATTGCAGTGGAGGAGAAGGAGGACACTTGATTTGCTCCTTCTTGACCACCTAAAAGTGCAGCAGCATCACTTTCAATTCATCATTCCTAATTTCTTTTCTTTTTCCCACCCTCTCTATGTTCATTAACGTGCACCAAAGCAGTTTGATTAGTATTTTGCACTACAAGAAAGGTCAAGTGCATTGTCTCGACAATTTTCTGCACTAACGTTGAATCTTCAAGTAGTCATTCTGTAGAAAGGAGCAAATTAAAAGACCATGAAAACTTGGTGACTATAAGAACCCTAAGTCAATCAACAATAGGGACCACCAAGTCCACCACTTAAGCGAGAGATGTTTGGCTCCATATAATTTCTTGAATGGGCAGTTTATACCTAAAATTATAATTTTTCTTAGCAGCTCAAGTTGTTGCCCCAAGTAAATGGTCAAGTGTAAGTAACATTGTTGATGTAAAAAAATCTCTTAAAAAAAGCTTCCTTTAAAAACATTGCTTTATGTAAAATATTATTTGGAAAATGTAATCGAAGTAGACCAAAATTCGTTTATTGATGTAAAGATTTATAAAGGTACACTGCGTTGGTTGGTAAACTAGTGGCAATATCAGTCAATGGTAACAGTAATTTTAAGATATATTTACATTATTCTCATGTTCCTGACTCCAAAAGAAAACTGTAGGTTTAGATGGCACATGCATATGTACAAAAGGCTGCACTGTAACATCCCAAACTGCCAGATCAATATTCCAATGAAAACATGTGATGGAACCCGAATACTTCCCTGCCAACATGAAGATCATCCTAGAAAGGTGGAAATATAGCCTTAATACATGAATGAATCAGAGGGAGCAACTTTTTTATCAAAGTAATGCCCACTCATTTCCCAGCTTCTGTAGAATGTTATGCATAATCTGAGAGATTAAAGCGTGACTGTGTTATAGGATTGGCATGGCCCATATCCACCACAGCCGAGGAGGAACGAAAACCAAATTGCGGATTCAGGTTATTCTGAAGAATGTTGAGAATGTGACAATGGATGAGGCGTGAGCTTCAACCAGAAGGATCTGGCTATGATGAAGCACGGCCGTGCCCCAAAAGTCAGGTTGTGAGTTTAAGATATTCTGACGTGCATGTTGAGCATCTGACAGTGATTAGCCAAGTAATACTCATATTAGACATGGAATTATATCATCATAACCATCCACCTTGACAGATTTTCCCCCCGAGGGAGTTCTGCCATTACAGAACATAACTCGCAAGTGAATAGCTAATAATATTAAGCTATAATGAATAATCAACTTTTTAACTTCTATATGAGGCTCAGATTCAAGGTTCCGAGACTTGGAAATTTTTTTGAGCCAAGGTGAGGTGAAATACGTAAGCCGAACAGCCAAGGAAACTAGATTTTAATAGTCAGATTCACCATCGACTAAATGGAAGATGATTATGCCCTTTCTTAAATTTCTTGAAGCCATTGTCCCATCAAATCCTCCGCGATCTAGTGCAAGCCCATAAATTAAATGCTCTCCGATGGGAAACAAAATAAAAGCTTACATTTCCGTGGAAATACAATTGAATCGGCAATCAGCACCAACAAAATAGAGGAGCTTCCTAGGCATGACTAGTCATTGGCTAGATGTTCTACATAACTTTGTGTAAACCAATGTTGAGATCAGATGACATGGAAACGAGAAGTGGAATAGACTGAAGCCACACAGCTTTGAAGACTCGTTTCTGATGAGCTCTTACGGATTGGGGGGGTTTGTGAGCATTATATCTAATATCAAAGATGTGAATCACGGGATCTGCTGAACCAGATGTTATATACAGGCCGTCAGGAGACCAAGCCTGATTTATCAGAGCTGACTGAGATTCACTGCTTTCTTGCTTCCATCCAAAAGTATGAAGTTCCGTCTGCCTCAATCTGATATCATATAGTCGAAGCTGCCTCTCTGGTGTCCTGAAAAAATTAACAATTAACAATATCCTTCAATTTTCCAAGCAGCAGAAACAAGAAACTCCCAACCAAAATCATTCTCTCCTAGATAACGACCATAAATCATCATGACCACCTAAAAATAACAGAAGAGGAAAAGTATTTAGTTTTTGTTCCTCATAAATTTATGAGACCACTTAATCTTAACACTCGATGAAAAATATGAGGAAGGCAGCAAGTTTTGACTCGATAATTACATTCTCATCTTCGTTCACAAAGCAGAAAGAAGGAACACAAAAACGCCGCCTTGATTAATTAAAAGGCCATTGCATCTTATAAATATTAATCATATTTCATGTCTATAATGATCCTCTTAGACCAACGAGCAATCACCAAAATTAATCAGTTTCATTGGACAATCCACCTGTTATACATAACAACAACTTTTTATCACCGCTTTGTTGTAGTAAGCAAAACACTATTTTCCTCCTTCCATAAACATAGTAGTAGCATAGATTAAAATATTACCAGAGGCGCAATCTCATAAGTTGGTGGTTGTGTACAGAATAGGAAAGCCAAAAACCACAATAACTTGGATCACCATTTTGCTGGTTAGAAGAATCAAACTAAATTCCAATAGTTCCTATTCCGTAAAGTACAGAACATGATGTGAGCTTATTTGGTTATATATCATTTCATCTATTACAAAAAACCGTGTGACTGTTAGAATGGGTCTTATGACACTTCAGCATCATTTAATGGGGTAATAAACTTCATCTAGTGTTCTAAGTCTTCAAACAACCATTACATTTCCATTTTGAAATAAATTTATTTTCCAAAAAAAAGAATCCAAAAATGTAAGGATTCAAGGAAAGAAAAAAAAAATTGAAAATGAACCGTATAAGAATTATAGATTCTCAGTGGAACATAGTAGAGCCTGTGAAAACAAAAGGGAACACACAATCTTATGTACTAAATTCAACGAAGCGAACTCTAGAGACAACGGAAAGAATAATATCTTACCCAGTTTGTACCATGAATAAATTAAAATCACATGGATTTGGCAGTACGCTCATGCATTTACTATCAACCTGATGCCTGTAATCTGCTCTCCCTATATGAGCATCATACCCAAAAATTCTCTTGTCTGCACCAACAGACAACACAACCTGCTTCTGCTGCAAACCAGCAACCCCCATAACAGCAGAAGAATGGAGATTTCTGTGCAATGCTTTTGGCTTCCATTTGTTCTCACCATCCTTCTCACTCCAAAGCATAACAGCGTGGTCACTTCCCCCAGTCACAAAACAGATGTTTTCCCAAGGCATGAAAACAATGTTATTGATAATACCCTTAACATGAGGCCTCTCCTCTAAGTAATTTACACGGTCTTTCTGTAATGACAAACAAAAATATATTATAATGTCAATCAATTAGAAAAGAGACCCGATCCAAATTGTAACTTTCATGACAGTATGTTTGTGGTGATGAGCCCTACCCCTTGTTTTTTATTCAGATCCAAAACTGAAATTTGCGAGTCCCCACCATCAGCACTGTAAACTGAAAATATGCTATTTCCCTCAGGGTGCCAAGCTATATCTTCTGGCCATCTCCTCTGCTTCGAGGATGCACAATTAGTTGAACTAAGCACAGAGGCTCCTGAACTACAGTTAAAGATGGAGACAAAAACACCAGAAAATAACGTGATTGAGAAATAATTGATGTGTTTTGAAGTTCAAAATTATGAACTTGTGATCAACAAAATTTCCAGAGATTTGGTTGTTGATAAAGCACAATGATACCATGCAATTCACGTAGCAACTCCACCCAGTAAGGTAAACAAAGAAAGATTAATAAAAATAATCAAGGCATACCCTCTTGCTTGAACTTGCCACAAATTGACCACTCCATCCAAAGAACTGCAAGAATTTAAAAAAAAAAAAAAAAACAGCAAATCAGAGCCAGAAGAACAAATTTATCTTACATAAGGAGGGGGGGAGAAGGTGCCCCTCGTGTGTTGGAGGATGGAAACAATGCCACAAATTCAATGTTGTTATATCATCAATTTTGAATTTTCAAATTCCTATAAAGCTTAATCAAATTAAGATCGTTGCTGTAAAAATACAAAAGAACTAATATTTAACTGGAATGATAGAGCTATGCTGACACCAAATTCACGCTTCTATGTAAGGCTAGAAAAGACAGTGCATTCCCTGAGCCGGACTCCACACGTGCTTTCCTAGATAATATTTCTTTATCACTTTATTTCAGGATAATTGATTTCTAGAACTCGTTATTGATAAGAAGAGGAAGAATTGTTGCAGAAGTCCAATCATTACTGAAATGTAAGTTTAAAGACCAAAAAGCACAAAATGATAATCTGAGTTTATAGATGAACATCAAAACTGTCCATCCTTTTGACCTACACTTCAATCTTGGCAAGATCAAAGTCTAAGTTGACCTACACCGTATACACACTTGAAAACTACAAGTCTAGAACCTAGCAAGCAATCTATCAGCGCGCAATATTTTTGTTGACTTGTTTTCTATAGAAAAAGGAAAAAGGGTACAAGTTAACATTAGGAAAAAAAAAACGGAAAATTAAAATGATCAGTGACCTTCAAAAAAATTGCTGACACATATTTTCTTGGAAATACCTAGTCACAAAAAGCTGATCGTTCACTGGACACAAAGCAAGACTCCGCAATTTCCTCTTGTGCTGACTTGAGATATGGGTGCTTGCTTGACAGTGTATTAAACACGGTGAAGAATTTGTACGGATTGAAGGAATCAACTCCTTGTGTTCTTTTTGTTCTGGAAAAATAAAATGCAATTCTGATGAAACTTTATTACAACAACAGATAATTTTGGAATGAAAATATGAAAAGATGGGCAATAACAACCACAAAAATTCAGATACAAATATATGACCTTAAATATGCGCTAACAACAAATATGAGAAGTATTAACGAAGGTTACACTAGTGATCAATGTCTTACCAAACTTCCTTTTCGTCCCTTTTTCCTTGCTCTTAACATCTTCCTGTTTAGTAGAAAGTCGTTGAGACTCATTAGTTTTTACTCTAGAAGCAATAACTGAATGTGTAGATACTGACGGACTGGCTTGAAAATTGGAACTTATTGAAGCTTTTGCAGAAGACCCTGGCAACAATTTAGGTTGTGAAATTTTCGGAGTAACAGCAGGAACAAGAAGTTCTGGCTTAGACTGATGCTGGTTTTTGGACAAAATTTCATTTCTATGAATGGGACTGTTTGACCTGTGCTCCATCTTCACAGATTTAGTTCCTCCACCTAAGGAACTTGTACCTGATACCACATCAGGATGGCCTTGAAGGCGGGCCAATTTGGATTCAGAATCTTGCAACCTCTTCTCTGCTTCCTCAAGCTGCGCGTCTTTCCCAAACATGAAATCAGCTATTCATTCATGTTGTAAGGATGTAAAAAAGATTGTAAAATGTGATCTGCCATGACAAAATAATTGAAACCACAGCGTATCTCATTTTCAGAGCAAATCCTATATTATTACTCACTGAAGCACCCAAAAAAAAGTATAAATATCATCTCAAAATCAGGTATCATTTAATTAATAAGGAAATTTACTAAGTTTTGAATAACAGGTTCTACCATGCACCACAATTTGAAAGCCGCCAAATTACAGTCTCCATCACTTGATGGAAAACATGCGACGCTCTGACATTAAATACCAGAAACACATATTGCCATCAATGAAGGCAGTGCGCGTCAGGATTTTAAATGTGAAAATAAATTGATACTCAATGCGAAAGAAAATTTAACGTGAAGTCATCAGAATATCACAAATACTAAGACCCAATTTGACAACTCCGGAGGTAATCACGGAGTTAAATGAGCCGAATGGAAGCTTAAAACTTATAAGCTTCAGAAAAAGAAACCTAAATCGTCAAGTTCTGGAGGCATTTGAGAATGAATAACTATAAAGAATCGACACTGAGCACAACATCGTCATGTCAGACACCACAGTGGCAGCATATGAATGAATAATAAGACCAGTATTAATCAAAATATGCCCTTTAACGTCCACAAAAAGTGGACAGCTAGAGAAAGAGGTTGAGAAAAGGATGAAGCAGAAACCTGAGATGTGTAATAGGCGATGCGTTGACGGAGATTTTTAACTTCACGGGTACGATGATCAATCAGAGCAACCAAAGCCTCCTCCTGTTCTTCCCTGCTATTGCTGCCGCCATTGACGTTGTGCGCACCGTTTTGTTCCATTTGCTCTCGATGCCTACCACTGATACTGCTAAATCAATAATCATCAACTTCTTCTAATCGGAGGATGCGCCCTTATATGGAACTCCAAGAACTTCAGAAATCTGCTTCCATTATTCTTCACAGGCTGATAGGAGCCCAGACTTCCCTAGTTCCCTTGGCCCTATGTGTTTGCACGGAACAGGGAATGCGGAGCGCGTCACGGTTAACACTCACCCCAGAAATTATAAATATAATACAGCGGTTTTTTTTTAATAAAATAAATTACATGATGTTAAAGTATGATTTAAATCAAATTATCATAGTAAACCATATAAGTTATAGTATATGATTTCATTCATATTTTTTGTAATAAAAAAATGTGTCTGCTTTTTTTTAAAAAAAATGCAGTGACTCCAAAGTATCCGTAAAAATATTAATCATAATGGTTATTTTGGTCGAAACTAATCATAAGGATTGTTGATAATGAATACATGTTATTAAAAGTTTGGAGAATTAGGTATAACAAATTTTTGCCGGGTAAAATAAATGCCAATTTCCAAAAAAGGCAAAATAACAAGTGTGTATTCATTCTCTCGCCAGGAAATAGCTAGCGCTTCATTCTAAATGCGTTGTCAAATCACACTCCCACGTAGATGCATTATGGGCTTTGCATCTTATTCTCTTATTTAAAAAAAGAAAAGAAAAAAAAAAAGAAAACTAATTCATGCAAGATTAAAAACATATTGCAGATGGAGAAAGTGAAAATTTAATCTCATGAGTAAAATTGGGTCGGATCGAAGTCCTTCCAGTTGGAGAATTATATATATAAATGAAATTTGATATACATACATATACTCCCTCTTGTCTGCTACAGTGTCTCTCTTATTGCTATATCACACCGTGTAATCTAGAATCTGTGGGCACAACATGCGAACTTTCTCTTCTCATAATACCTTTTCCCCTTTTGATTTTGAGTGTCTTGCAGTATTACCTTTAGATTGACGGCTAAAGAGCTTGCAATCCAAATAGCATTTGGAAGTTAGAACTATCTGAAGATCCAGACAGCTAACACTTTTCAGACGTTTGATATCTGACAGAGCGAGCAAGCAGCGCATCAATTATCAAAAAGGTAGTCTGTGTTGAATTTTTTCCCCCTCCATTTTTTTCATCTTGGCCTTTCCTCATGTCGTCCTTGCTTCTTCGGCAAAAACTTGCACCCCTTCCATTCATTTTATTTATGAGGTTCTATTGGCCAGTTTTAATATAAAATCATTTTAATAAAATATTTATAACTAATATTTAAAAATGTTCTTACCTTTTTATAAAATAACATAATTTTTGGTCCTTATAATTTTATCAAGTTTTATTTTTAGTCCATATTAATTTTTTTAATATTTTTAATTCCCATAGTTTCAAAAAAATTGGATAATTTTTATTTTTTGGATTCCTATAGTTTTCACTTCAATAATTTTAGTCTCTATAGAGAGTGAAAACATTTAAAAAAAACTACAAAAATTAAAAGCAAAACCTAATAAAATTATAAGGACTAAAAATTATGTTTTTTTTGTTATCTTTTTATAATAGCTTTTTCTATCCTTTCCTTCTAATAAATTATATCAATTAAATGGTAATTTTGAAAAGTAATAATTTTTAAATATTTAAATTTTTTTTTTATCTTCAAAAAAGTAATTAACAAGGTATTACAAGAATAACCGGAGCAACGAATCGAATTCAAGGTAATATCGCTCAAGAGGGGTAAACGTCTAAACGACAACGTTGTAAGTTTTCTTCTTTTTTATCAAGGCGTATCAAGTATCAACATAGAATGCTAGCCCAAAAGAGAAAGCACTCACCAACATGAAATCGCACCATTTGACCACTAACTATTCTTTAAGGAATATTAGGTTGTCTTTATTGTGAGATGGCATAAAATAAATTTTTAAATTTGAAAAACGAAACATTTTGTAGTCTTTGTTAATTTTCGAGGAGCACTACTCAATTTTTTCTATTAAAAACGCACCATCTAATAAATTTTCATCAATTTTAACTAAATATTATTTATTTTTAAATTTATAAAATCCACGTCGTGTTGATTTTTTAATTTTCTTGCATTTATTTTTAATCTTAACTCAAAAATAAGATGTTCAAAAGATTCTTATATGATGACATTCATGAGGATGACGTTAATAAAATAAAACAAGAAGAGGAAGAATTAAGTTTGGAGAAATTGACACGTTATGGGTTTCATAAATTTGTGGGTTTGAAAATAAACAACATTTAGTTCTATGAGAAAGTGCTAGATGGTCTGTTTTTATAGTAAAACCTACCAAATGCTTCTTCAAAAATAATTCATTATTAAATTTGCATTTTTAGTTGCTGAAGTAGAGTGTCATAAGTCATTTCAATCAAAAATTTGTGAGCCTCATATGAAAGTTAACATCCATTAAATGGAAATTAATGGAGGCTACTAGATACTCTTATTTTAAAGATTAAGAATTTATTTTGGATCACATCATAATATACTCCCCTGATTTTATTTATAAATCACTTTCAACATATTTCATCAGTATTAAGGAAAACCTTAAAACTCGTTAACTTTATTTTAAAATTTAATAAATTTTTAATTTTATCTCTATTAAATATACACATTTCAATCACATTTTTTTTCAATATTAAATGAAAGGTAAAAAAATTATGATAAAAATTTAATAACATGACTTATAAATTAGAACAAAAAAATTTCTCTCTCTCTCTATCTTATAAATAAAACCAAAGTAAGTTATCTAGTACTCCAAAAAAGATAGTTGGTTATCAAATTTGTACCTTTGCCTTATATTTTTTATGTTTTAGCCTTCTTGGCACTTCCGAGAACATCAAAATTCCTTGCTCGTCAAATTTATCATGGAACAACGCATGCTCCTCAAAATTTTATAATCAAACGATATTTTTGTTTCGTATTGATTATTACCCCTCTTGAGCTCATTCATAATTCATTTTCGACAGTTTTTTTTTTTAACTCATCTCAACTAAAAAACATTATACTTTATCCATAATGGATACATACTTAAAAAATTTCCTACTTTGTTGCGCCAAATTTAATAAGACTAAAAGAGAAAAACTATAATAAATAGTCAATATCGTATATTATAAAAAAGACCACAAAACCCTTCCTCCAAGTTGTTTGTAAATGGATCGGAGGGGTGCATGACAATTCCACTGGCTTTCCGCAAACCGTTTTGCGAAAGAGATTACCACTGAGCATCAGCAGAAGTGGCAACGCACAGAAGATATACACAAAAGCAATAACGGAATTTGAAGAGAGATAAGTAAATCAGAAAGAGTATAGCAGCACCGAATTAAATATAGCAATTTAAATCTCCCTCAGGAATCGTCCTAAAGACCATTAACTGAGGGTATAACAAGAAATTTACATGAGAACAGAGACAAAATGACAAAAACAAAATCAGCAAATTCCCCTTGAAACCCACGTCGACCGTGGTCTCAAAAGAACTACTGCGAACTGTGACACTGTCTCTTCACAGCTAGCCAAAATTTTGAGCTTCAATTAAGCCAATCATTTTTCTAAACTCATAAGATGGCAGCAGAACTCCATGCAAAAATTTAAAAGAAAGAAAATGTAACTACGATCAGTCACTTCATTCTTGTTATGTACCCCAGCCTCTGAAAACTTGTGCAAGGCTTCCTCTCTATAGGCAAAATTTGTGAGCCCCCTTACTTCCTGGTCTAACTCTCCCTCCAACAAAAAGAAAAAGGCAATATACAGATTCATGTTGAATTTCATGGCGCAAGCGGCAAGATCGAATGCCTAGTGCCCGAGGCAAAGTCAGTCAGAGTTCCGCGAAGAGCTCAATGAAGAATCTATTCCATTAGTGGTTGATCCCTCTACGCTTGCCAAAGTTGAAGGACTCCCCTGGCTGCGATTCTCCTCATTATTAGTACTACAGCGAGATTTTCCTGGCCTCATTCTAACATTAGTACCCATGGGAAAAGGCTCCTGCAGATACAAAATAAAGTCAAATTTGTTACAGCGCAGGATATTTAAGAAACCAGATATTGGACGTGTTTAGTTAGCAGAAATTGAAATTTAAGATATTTATTTTATAACAAAATTCATTCCTCAAGAGGAACTAAAATTGGGAAGCCTCATGGAAAACTCGATCTGTTGTTTAAATGCACACTACCAGATCAAGAAGCATCTCATTGCCATCAAAATTCAAAACAAGCTGAAGGTAGAACCATTATCCCTAAAACAAGTCGTTAGGTGCGTACCATATTCATATAAAGAGTATCCCTACAGAAAACTAGGGCCAAAAGATTATTGAATGAAATGAGAAACTTAAAGATATGACCTCGATATTACTACTAACAGCATGAGCATCATTGAATGATTAACCATATCTAAGAAGCAGGCATCAACAGGAAGCTGTTAAGTAATCTAGTTTATTCTTAAAAATGGGAAACAATAACACAACAAACTGATTTTATGTCATACCGGATCACCAGCATTTGGGCCATCTGTGTGAAATAGAATAGGACGGCAACGCTTGTCTTCATTCATCAGGCTTGAATTCTGGAAATGAGCGATAAGTGCAGCTTTACCCTGAATTCGGGCATATGCAAGTGAGGCTACCTTTTCACTATTAAATTTCTCCCATTTTTTCCCATTAAAAGCCTGCATATGATGGTTCTTGTGTATTAGCTTCATTAACTCAGATTCCATCTAGCACAGTTAAACAAGTCAAATTACTGTTTAACTAAGATTTACCTGGTGGAATGGAATAATCTGAGCAGGATCAATCATATTAATAAATGCATAGCCAACATTACATTTGTTCTGCAATTATTCGCATGATTGAATTAGAAATACATCAAGGATGTCACTAGAGGAAAGAAGCAACTGAACACAAATAAATGCTTGCCTTAAAGTCAATAGGCAAATATAGAAAATCATAAGTTCCCCGACATTGCTCATCTATAGCAGCTAGAAGCATCTTGGAAGTATACCTGTCAAAAAAACAAAAGAAGAAGAAGAAAAGAAATCAATAAGCTAGAGCCAAAAGTTTCAATGCTTCACTAATCAGCCAATGCGAACAGTATATGTTCTATATGCATAGGAGCAAGCAAACACTCATGCGTGCACGTGATTGTTGGACACAGATTTTGTAGCTTTATACCTGAAAGCACCATGCCATGCTGTGATTTGAAGAAGCAAAGATAACAGTGCAAGCAATAATAAAAAGAAGTCAGGAAGACGAATGACATACTTGTTGGGAATATTTTTTATCATTAGAGTTGTACGGCTGTCTTCCCCACGCATTATGCAGCCTAGGTCAAGTTCATATTGCTTTTTATCAGCATTATTAATGTTAGCTTCACTTTTCCGGAGGGGATACAGATTCCTCATTCGTTCATTGCAATCAAGTTTGGACATAGAAGCCATGGGATGTCTCCCAGGAAAAGCATGTGACAACTGATTAGGAGAGTTTTGCCCAGCAGTTGATGTCAATTCTGCACCATTCCCACCAATATGAGGGAACATGTTGTGAGAAGAAAACTCCGGAGGATGCAATTGCCAACTACCAGGTAAACCAGCACTTCCTAGAGAACCCATACGAAAACCAGAAGTTTCAGGAGACACTCCTAGATAAGAGTGTTGCCTGTCCCAGGGTGAGGCAGTAACAACAGGAGCTGACCCAACATGGTGGTCTATGTGTGATGCTCTTAGCATGTGAGGCTGTGTTCTAGGAAAGCTGGGCATTTGCGGAAGGCCAGGAGCACAAGCACCATTAACAAATGATGGTGTTTTCTGCCAAAGCATGGGACCTGGTGAAGGCTCCTGGTGCAAATTGGAGCTGTTCCACACATGATAAAGTCCATGACGTTGATGGTTCCCATTTCCTGCAGATCCAAAACAGAAGAAGGATTTCAAACCAAGATTTATATGTAAATCTATACCCGCATCACAAACAAGAGTATCTTCTGCAAATATTTCCCATCTTAACAATTAATAACCATTCAAAATTTGATAGAAATGTTAATTTGGAGACCCATATTTATTTCATCATCCACGATCATATATGATCAGACAGAGGTGTTTCACTTTTTGGCCTACATCAGACAAAAGTCTATATTTATCAAAATCAATATTCATTAAAAAGTCATTTTAATTTCTTGTATACTGGTAGAGTTATTTCTTTTTCTAAAAAATTACAAAACGAAGAAGAACTTGAGCACTCCATACCTCATCAATAGTCAAGACTCAAACCCATCATTATTGTAAAAAAACCAGGCTGTCATTTTAAGAAAACAGTAGATTAACCCTTGCAATACTTTTGAACAAATTAATATTGTAAGCACCAGGATGCCATTTTCAATAGATAGGAAACCATTTTAAAACTGTTGCAACAATAAAGGTTGTGCATGAAGCTGCTTGTATATATGCACATCAACTTTACATTTCCACGAACCTGCTCCTGCAAATTCCATCATATTCCCAGTTGATCCCATTCCCTGATTGGGCCTGCTATCTGAGTTGTCTGCCACTCCACTACCAATATTGCCAGCCACATTGCCAACAATGCTTGAAAAGTTGTAAGCACTACCATTAGCAAAACTATCATGATAATCAGGAAGGGAATGAGGATGGAATCTTGGAACAGAGGAAAACTTCATTGCATCAAGGAAGTTACTGGAATCGCAAACACCAGGCACTTTTCCAGAAGTTGGCCCTCTCACTGATTTGTGAATGCTAGAATTCACAGGAGAGAAAGCATTATCAATTAATGCATTAATAGGTTGCTGTATTGCAGGGCGAAATCCAGGATTAGATCCATTTTCTAGGCAGCCAGGTGCAATTACTCCAGAAGACATCGTTGCTGTAAATGATGTCTAGTGAGACCAAGAAAAGCAGTGGCTTCCTAAGGAGAAATATTGATAACAAGTTGAAACAGAGTCAAGCATACCCTTGTGTCTTAGTGATGAGTTGTCACAGAGACTTTGACCAAAATCAGGTTCATCTTGGCCATTGTGAGACTCAAGCGTCAGACTACGAAAACATAGCATCCATGATTATTTACAAAGAAAGAGAATTACCAGAATAAAGGGGTAAGTGTTTGTTTCTATTTAAGAACAGAAATCAAAGTGATCTATCACAATTCTGCACTTCATAAACCACTTAGAAATGAAAAGTCTGCTAACAGATAAAAGGCAGCATACTAAAAAGCAGAAAATAGTTTTAAAGCTACTAAAGAAAGAAAAGAAAAGGGAAAAGTCACCATGTCGTTCCCCGAGGATGACCAGGTTCAAGCTTGATCTGCTTACCAGCAATGTCACTCCTGTTTAATGCACGAAGAGCAGCTTCTGCAGCTCGCACATCATAAAATTCAATATTTTTTTTATAATTTACTTCTGGAGATTCATAGATCTGCAAACAAAAACAAATGCTTCCAGCTACCTCAACTATCTTCATAACACACAAGCAACAAAAAATGGCTGAAAATCTGATAATGAATATCTTACTTCCTTTATTTCTCCATAAAATCCAAAAATCTGTTGAAGCTCATCATTCGAAACAGAAGAATCAAGACCAGAAAGCACAAGTGTACCATGGCTTATATCCTTCTCAGGAGCATTGCCCTAATGCGTCGGAAAGTTAAGATAATTTTATGAGCAAAGCATCAAAAATAGAAGACAGAACCAATTGAACAAGAAAAGCACAAATAAGATTAAGCGATACAATTATACTAAATGCAATTAATAACAAGACCTGCTTTATTTATCCAAATGATAAAGAAGGAAAAGGAATCATGCATGCAGCAAAACTGACAAAAAAAATCATACCTTTGGAATTGAATAATGAATGTCAAGTTTCCGAGACCTCAATGACCTATTCTGAAGTGCTTGCATTGCATTTTGTGCTGCCCTTAGGTCATAGTAAGAAATCATCACAAACCCACGATGCTTGCAGGCTGTATAAATGGTTCGGATGTCTCCATATTTCTGCACCCAAAAAAAAAAAAAACATAATAGACCATTTACTTCTGATTAGTGGTATGAAATGCTTCCTGAGATTGCATCTAGTAACATGAAAGAAAAAAGATTCACCTCAAAAAGAGCCTTTATCTCAGAATCTTCAACATTGCTATTGATGTTTCTAACAAAAAGTGTCCTAGAAGGTTGTTCGCCAAAAGGAAGTTTTCCTTTAAAACCTCCAAAATAACCGGAATCTACATCCAGACAGCTGATTTTCTTTCCCAAACTTAGATGTTCATCTCCCTCTAATTCCATGCCTCCACCACTGCTAAACAAATCAAACTCTTCAAAGTCATCAGTTGTTCTGGCATTAGCAGTGTATCCTAACTCATTAGTAACACCAGAAAACAGATCATCTTCATCAGGAAGGAGATTCCCAATAGTGTCAGCCTCAATTTCTTCAAGAGATTTGTATGGTTCTTCCTCAGGAAAGGAACCAATGGTAACAGGCTGATGAGACAGAATATCATTCCGAGATAACCTCACTGCACCAAGATATGCATATCAATTTAGCAACGCATGTACAAGAATATCAGTTTATCTTGCACTAGAGTCATAGTTTTAAGAGAATAAGATAATTTTTTTCAATAGGGTGGTGAGAGGTTGGAGGAAAAAAGGTCTCCACTGCCCAATATTTTAAGGACAACAATGGGTACTTAAAAAGGTGGTGCCAATGCTGATGAATTGAGTTTCCAGCATTTCTCATTATACATGCTTGAAAGTGATGCATGAAATAGGGTCTTACATTTTTGGCCAAAGACCTCAGACAGTGAGCTAGAGAATAGGCTGCTCTCATGGGAAGCAGTATCAGTGAGAATCTTTTTTCCAGTTAAACTATAAGATGTAGGTTCTGGCTGCATATGCACAGTAGACCATGATCTGGGGTGATGAGTCATTGAATCCTTGGTAGAGTTCAACACGTCAATAATGCCTCCTCCACCAACTTGCGGCTTTTCTGTAACTTCTCCCAACAGACTTGTTTGTGAAATTGGCAAGCCAGAGTTGGCATTCATTTCTAGAGATGACGATGTACTTGAAATGCTCTGTGGCGATGCTCCTATTTTCCCTATAAAATACAGTACAGCTTAATTTGTCTGAACAATTCATCACAAGTACAGCAAACACACTTGTTATTTATAGAAAATATGCAAAAGCGTGCACTCACCAGGTGACCATTGTGTACACAGATATGTCACAAAAGAAGTTACCTCGTTCAAAATTAAAATAAGACACAAACAAGTTTGGGATTAAATGAATCCCAAAAAAGCACATCCCAACTTCAAACCAACAATGTGTAGCAATTGAATTAATCAGATAACCATCAATAGTCACAGCTGTACCAGGGTTCAAATTTATGATAACATAATGGTGTCTTATACTGCGAGTAGAGGCGTATGTCAGTATTGATTGCATCAATAAAGAACTCACCACAAACTGATTCAATATCCTTACTCATATTAAATGTACTTATTCAATGTGCATCAAACATTTACAAACAGTTAAAAGAGAAGAGTCGAATATTGACCAAAGGATCCCAATACGGCAACTAATTACCAATCCACAACTGAGATCTGACATTTAACAGATAACGACTGAATATATAGGAAACTTTCTTTTTTCAATCAGCAAGGCCATCGAATTGCGACTCGTCAATATCTAGAGTAAATATTTGTTTGATTATAACCATCTGTATCTCTTGCATAGATAGTTCATAAAATTCAGGGCATTAATTGTGAACTAAAACATGACTACATAAGCAAACAACTTACATATGATTATTTTAACGAGGGGGGAAAAGAAGAGAGAGTTGATGGGTACTCACTTTGTAAATAATGGTCATGAAAGGATTTTGGCTTCTGCAATCCAACACTCTTCTGTCCAATATAAAAGTTCAAGACAGCTTCAGAAACCCACGAGATCAAAAGATAATAACATTCATGCCATAGAGGTCATTAACATTTTGACAAAAGAAGGCTGAAGTCTTGAAAAGTTGCAAAGAACATTTCAAGTCTTAAACCACGACATGTACTATGGATCAACTAGTTATCAAATGATAGAAGTTGGTGAAAGAAATATGAAGTGTGTGGAACAACAAATACCTCAGGAAAAAAGGAATTGTCATCAAAAAGGTGGGACGAGGCAGATATGCCCCTCTGGTTCATTATTTCAAAAGGCATCGCGCAGCTCAGAGTCCAGAACTCTGGAATGGAACAATTACCGAAAAGCTCCTCACTTGCTGGCTTTGATGGACCCTATACCTCGTCGTCTGTTGGAAATTTAAGGTCATTTGCTTGATAAAGAGGGAACAGACGAAAATAAACAAGGTACTGCACGATGAACCTGCTATTGGCGGAAAGAAAATTCGAGGCAACTGAGATTCAAAAAGTATCATTTATTCATCTATCTCAACAAATACAAATACATCACCACTGACATTATTCCCCAACCCCGCCCCAACCCAAAACAAAAAACGGAGGGGAAAGGGCAGCTTGAAATTATGACAAAGCTGCTTCCTCGATTCTAACAAGCAATAGCATATTTAGAACACAAAAGTGTTAGGTTAAGCTGAAAATAGCAATAATTTCAACTAAATACCACCAGAACCACGAATGACACAGGAAAATTTTGTGAAAAGAAGAAAAATTGTTTCTTACCTACCAGCGACCTAGCACAGTTGGGTCATTTAGCAACCAAGAAATTTAAGAAAATGAAACAAAACCAACAACAGAGCGAAAGATTTTTGTTTTATTTTATTTCACAAAAGAGGTAATCGCATCTAGATTGAGCCTATAATCCTTCTCCTTTGATTCTGTCAGCAACAAGAACAGATGAAAGGGGAACTTCAGAGGTAAAACCTCAAACAAGGACAGATCAAGTTCAGAAACCCAAATTTTCAGAGAAGACGGAGCTGTGATTTACATAAAGAGGCTATAAATTGAATATTACCTTAGAATCAGTGACGCCAACAGAAAATTATTCACCAAAAAAAAAAGTTTTCAAACAAACAAACTCGCACCTTCAAATTTGGACACCATTCGCCAACACACAGAACTCAAAATTTTTTTCTCCCCAGCTTCCTCCACGAAATTCAGCAACTGCTCGTTCCGAAACTTGTTGATAAATGAATCGTATCCGCGGTCCACGCTTAAAGAATTCAGAAATGATGGGATCTCAGCATATTTGCTGCAAAATCTCCTTTCTTCTCTCGGTACATTGCCTTCCCGGCGATCTCCAGCTACACAAGAGAACAAAAGAATATTCTTTTTTCTTTCTGTTTGTTTGTATTTCCCCAAACACCACTCTATCCAGAAAAAAGGAAAACAAGGGAAGAACAATTCATCATTCGCAGCTCAAATCATGAAACAAACTGCTCTGGCGAGCAAGGGCGAATCTCCGGCGATTGCGGTCGCCGGTCGCCCTCTGATTTGGAGAGAGAATCAGACCACACAACAATAGAGTTTGAGATGGTGCGGAGAGAGAGGGGGGACAGGACGGAGAAGAAAGTGTGCTTTAAAATACAAAAACAAAAACAAAGGGGAGAAAATAAGAGGAAAAATAGGAGAGAATATAGGCCAAGGTTGTGTGGGTTTGTGTATTTGGCTGTAAAAAAAGATAACTTTTTGGAGACAAATCAGACCATTCCCTATATATACGACGAGCGAATTTTGTGTGTTTTAAGTTTTAGCATGAAAGCATGACGACTGCGTGTTACTATTTTCAGCCTTCTTCTGCAGCCTGATTTATTTCAGACTTTGGATTTATTTAGATTTAATTTTATAGCTTAATTTGGCGATTCTGCTGGCTGCTTCCATTCATATGGTTTCCCGTTATTTTCTCTGTTTCTTATTACCAATGAAATACTTACTGATTCTTTCCTTGGTCCTTATTCGCTGTGCTTTCTTCATGCACGCATTATTTTCTCCATTGCTGATAGTCTGATACTAAGAGGAGCTCCATATTTTTTGTTGTATGTGTGTCAGAAGTGTGTGTGTGTCAAAATTAAAAATTAACTAAAAGAAGGACTCTCCTAGTATTTATATACTAAGAAATAAAGTGGGTTAGTGAAATGGACTCAGAAGAGAAGTGGCCTTGCACATATGAGACAAGGCAATCGCAGTTGAAATCAACTGATTCACCCTCCTGCGCGCAAGTTCAAGAGGGAATGGGTTCCTTTTATCGGGTTATTTTTACAAAAATAATTAAATAAATAAATATTTTTAGCTTACACAAAAAACCTCTCATTTTGCTGTTTCAAATTTAAACTTGAAGTCTTGGCAATTTTTTCAGTATTAAACCTCTTTTGAAAATTGATTTTGTGAGTTAATGTTCTAAACGTTTTTGTCTGCCAACATCTCCAAATTAACTAATTTTGTGAAGTTAATATTTTAAACTTTTTGTCTGCCAACATTTCCAGACAGAAGTTTAATTGTGATTTACGTTTGCATAACCCCCTAGACAAGTGTTTAAACGTGATTTATAAGAGTGTAATCGAAGTTTTAATTTGGTGATTATGAGCCAACGTTTATGTCTATATTTTTGAGCTATATATAGCCATGGGTATGGATAGAACAGGGGACCCAACCTCTTGAGTTTTCCGGGCAATTCTTTCCTCCCTCTGCCTTCTGCTTTCGTGTTCGTCTGTTTGTCTGTATTTGTTTTTTAGTCTCTATTGTTCTGTTTTCTTACTCCGCAGGAAGTGCTCATTTAATCTTGCGGAACTGTCAATCCATCATTCCTGTGTGTCGAAATAGTTTTTACGGACAGTGTTCTTCTAGGCATGACTCAAGTAATTTGTCCTTCGCCGTTCACGTCTGCTGCCGGTGCCACTAACATTCTCTAAATAATATCCTTTATCTTGAATTCATATCAGTGAGCTATGTGTGGTACAAAATTTAAAGAGAGAGTTTATCTTAAAAAATTAATTTGATAAGAGTACCTTCAAACCTATAATTCCCATAACTCATGCTTCATGACGCTTCATTCAATTGTCCTTTCTGAGACCACAAATACAAAAAAAAAAAAAAACAATATCACTGTCCAACATACTAACTTGTGAGGTGAAATAGTCTCGTAAATTTATAAATCCTGCAACATTTGTAAAATTTTTCAGTGTGGGGCAAATAATAATGTGCCACATCAATATATTATAAGATAACAAATTGGAGCCGATTGTGATAAGTGGTGACATCTTTCCTTTTCACGCACACACGCACATGGTAATTTCTTTTTCCTAGTTAGCTATGCAAGCTCTTGTATATTTTTAAGAAGTCTAGATTAATCATTGAACTTGTTTTTTTTTCTTCCCCTGTTTTTTTTTTCCTACCAAACTTTTCGTCCTCTGTTATTTTGCCAAATTTCGTTCAATTTTTTTTTCGCATCTATTGCAAATCTTCGATTATTTGTGTATGTAAATACAATAAATGGTTATTACTGCATTGCACTGCATGACTAACAATAGTTTAAGATATGCCTATTAGACAATAATTTCCTTTCATTTGCGAAGTAGATCATCATACGTTTAATTATGGAAGCGCGCTAATGAATTTTTTATGCATACTTCTCGTACGAAATTATAAACAATCCATCTAGAAGGAACTTGTTTTTGTTATCAGCGAAGAATCTCGCAAACTTACCACACAAAAAAAATTACATAATTTTAAATCTAAGAAAATGGGGGAAATTTGAGTAAAGACGGAGGTGAGGTTCAAAGAGGAAATCGCTTAAAAAAAAAAAAAGGAGAGAAGACTGCATTATTTTAGTGATAAAACTAAATTTAAAAAGAAAAAGACGAAAACATATAAAGCGTGTTTGGATAACCAAATTAATTAATTTTAAAAGTTAAACTCTGATTTTATGAACATATATTCAAACATCTCTCCTACACGTTAAAATTAATAATAAATTTAAAATTATGATTTTTTTTAAGTTATTCAAACACTCATTATACATAGCAGAATCAATTATAAATTTAAAAATAATTTTTTTAAAAAATTATTCAAACACTTTTATTTTATACATGTCAAAATTAATTATAAACCTAAAAATGTTATTTGCAAAACAATTTATATGATTTTTAGATTAATTTTTAAAAAATTATAATTAAAAAATTGAATTGAAAAATATGCACTAATAGATTGATTTTAACATGTATCCAGGTGTTTGGACATTTTCAAGAAAATCACAATTTTTGGTTTATAATTAATTTTGACATGTATTGTTGTGTTTGAATATTTTAAGAAAAAGATGGTTTTAAATTCATAATTAATTTTAATATGTAATATGAGTTTTTAAATATATTTTTATAAAATCATAATTTTACATGATTTTTAATTTTACCTTTCAATTTTGATTAAAATCATTGTCATTGATCAATTTTATAAATCAATTATATACCATGTAAAACATGGTTATGAAATTTTCGAGTTGACTTTTTAAGTTTAATGTTTTTATGTTATAACTTATAAAATTAAACTCATTCGTAAACTCAAATTAAATACAAATTTGATCAAAATTAAAATTATTATAAAGACCCAAAGAAAACAGGACTCGGCTTCTCTCCTTTGAGAGAAGCCTTATCTGCCTCTCTTTTAAGGTAGAAGCTTAATTTAGACGACATAAATTTAATATTTTTATTTACATTTTTAAAATAAAAAATATATAAAAATTGTAAAAAAATTGTAATAAATATACTTATTAATTTGATAAACCAAATTTAATATAAATGATCTAAAATTAATATTAAATTTTTTAATAAATTTATTATTCTATTCAAAATATATTTACACTATTTAGAATATATGTGAAAAGTTATTTTAAATTTTTTATATTAAATTTAAATCATTTATATTAAATCAGAAATTTTAAATTGATAAATATATTTATTAAAAAAATTTATAATTTTTATATATTTTTTATTTTAAAAATATAAATAAAACATAAAAAATAAAACTATTAAATCTGTACCGTCCAAATCTGGACGGTCCAGATTCTCCTCTGCCTCAAAGGAGAGGCAGAGGAGGCTTCTCTCCTCCAAGAAAACGTAAGCGTTGCCTGGTGGTCAATAGTAACGAACACAAATTTCGGAGCTTCCACGACACAAATGAAACAGTAACTCCATTCGAAGACCACGTTACCTGTCTCTACTTCTGTTTCGTGTTCGGTTTGAGTACGGTGCTAATCTGTCGTATCCGATCTTCTTTCCTTATTTCTTTATCATTATTTTTTTATTTTTTGGAAATTAAAGCATATCAAAATGCTTGGGGTAGTACAGAAGGCAGCCGGAAGCCCGGTTTTAATAACGGAAGTTGTCAGCTCTACAACGAATCAACGTCCATATTTAAAATCATGTTAGAAAAATATTAATATTTAATATTCAATTATATTTTAAACATTACTCCTAATAAAAAAATATTTATGCACAATAAAAAAATATATCTTAAATTGTGAATTTTTTTAAAAAATGATAATAAATTTATTTTAAATTATATAAATAATAATTTAATCTCTTAAAATATCATAATTTTATTGAAATATTTAAAGACTTCTCTATCATTAATAAATTTATATACATGATCAAAATGCTCTTATTAAAAATAAAATGATCATAATTTTTATTTAAATAATTAATTTTTTTTATATTCACAACAATACAATAACAAATTACACTTTGCATATCAAATTCTAAATCTGTTATTGCATTATTGTAAATATAAGAAAAAAAGTTATGATTATTTAAATAAAATTTGTTATCATTTTATTTTTAACAAGGGCTATTTTGTCATTTATATAACTTTATTAATGATAAAAAAATTCTTAAAAATTATAATAAAATCATGACATTTTAAAATATTAAATTATCATTTATATAATTTAAAAAAATTTTATTATCTTTTTTCCTTTCTTTCGTTTGCTGTATTAATTACTCCCCACTTTTTTAATATAGGAAAAACCAATATGCGCTTTTGTTTTATGTATAAATAAACTTGTAAACTTTAAAAAGTATTTATCATATTTTTTAAATTGCTTCTTGAAGTTAATATTTATTTTTATTAGGCACATTTTTTTCTTTAATTATACAGATAATTTAGTTTAAATTTTTTAATTTCAAATATAATTTTATTGAGAATTAGTCATTAATCAATTATTTTATATATATTGAAGGTACGATCCTTCTCGTGTTCACTCCAACATGGGCATTTATCCGCCTCGCGCTCCAAGAATAATTGATTTTGAGGCAATTCTATCAGTTCATTTGTTAATTCAGCTATTAATTACTTTTTTTTTTTGAGCAAAAACAACTATTAATTACTTGACAGTGTTGATTTATTGAGGATGGATGATTCGGCGGACAAACTTGAAGCATTGCCGGTTTACTGTTCATTTCTACCTTTGCACGCTGAATTTTTACAAGAACACTAATATTTATGTATTGTTTACTGATTTTATTTATAAATAATTTTTAATATGTTTCATTAATATTAAAAAAATTTAAAATTTATTAACTTTATTTTAAAATTTAATAAGTTTTTAACTTTATTCGTATTAGATATACATACTTCAAAAACATATTTT